GCTGTCCTTTCCAGCAGCTCCTATATTTTGTTCTTCTACTTCTTCCTTTCATAACTTTGCTTCTGTGAATTGGGAATTTCTCCATTGCGAGACTAATAAAGGTTTTCTTATCTTATCTTATCTTAATTTCCCCAAGAACATTAACAGAACCCATTGAGGGTGGAGCTTATTGAGCTTATTGATGTTGCAGTTTTACTGCAGTTATGGCCATAACGAGGCAGCGTTCAGTAAAGCCAAAATGGAAATCACGATTACATTTCGGTTCATTGCCCAACCCGAGGTTAAAATGCATCCTGACAATAATTGTAATGTCTTTTTTCTCAGATTCACTGGTGATACTGCAAATCATTTACTAAGACAATCAGCACTTGTATTTCCAGGACTCATTTGATTGCATTGATATTACTCTGACCTTAACATACCTTCAGAAATTCTGTAACACATTCTGTAAGGTTCTTGTGGCCCTGAATATTCAATTCCAGTTCATAGAATCTGGAAGGCAGCGCAGACGATCGCCCACATTGGTTACAGCTGGGAAAACAACATTGATTGCAATTAGAAAACCTTTCTTGGTTCATGTGAAGAAATGAATCTTTGCATTTCAACAGTGGGGGCAGTACACGGACGTGATGCATCTTTGAGAATAAAGTGACATTTGAATAAAGTGGCAGTTGGTTTGCTTACACAGTTACATAGGAGAACTGTCCACAGAATTGCTGCTGAATGACATTTTGCAGGATTGGGTTCTTCTGCTTGGACAATGTGTCCTCCAACAAGGACAAGAAGAGCTTTGAGAACTCCTGGGCATCCTGAGAGAGAAAAGAATATCTCGTACTTTGTGGGGCATCATATTGTTGAAGTAGTAGGAAACGTAATCGGCTGGCTTCTTACTTGCTGCTGCCCAGTGTCTAAGCCAAGAGCTTTAACCAGCCCTGAAGGATCGATGTATTTTCTGTTACTGTTCTGTAGTAGTGCAAACAAATATTGCAGATGCTCACAAATGGACTCAGGTTCATAATCTGAAACACATCAAGTATTTGTCAGCGTAGCGTCCCACATTTGTCAAGAAACAACCATCAGACGTCGTCGTCAAGCTGTAATTAATGCTCAAGGTCACATGACAAGTTATTGTTTGACATTTTTGTTGTGGTGTCCCCACTATTGTTAACTTTTGTTCCAATGAACATTTGAGAAGAGGAAATCACCAGTGCATCCTTATACTTAAATGTCCCACTTTCATGATATCAGTGTCGCGTGAACTTTTTACATTTTCCATAAATTTCACCGGAAGCCACATATCCCTACATTTTTGTGAATAGTGTTTATACATATACAGAGTCAGACTCATCACCGCTCGATTTCTGATGGGTGTCGGTGACTCACTTAGGATTGTCACAAGAACAATTTATAAAACAATGCACTTTTCGAGACACTGTCATGATAAATGACAAATGAAAAAAAAAGATTTTTATGCTGCTGATACTATGACAGAGCATCTTAAATCAAGTATCTTGTTATCAAAAACAAATAACCTTTTCTTTTGAACATTGGCATTGCGATAGAGAACAATAAATATCATTGATGAATACAATGCACAAAAATTACATTGAAAGCCAGTACCTCAGTGAACGATAAAAGCTTGCTCGCATTAGCAAACACGAAACTCTTCCCGATTGTTTGCTATCATATGATGAGCTAGAAGGCTAACACCACGCCTGCAACTTGTAAACAAATACTTAACTAATTCCGTCATGAATCACACACAGATATACTATTTCAATGCCATAATCACCATTATCATCTGATAAATTTGTTACTGGGGGGGAAAAAAATTGCTGTTAAAGTCAAGTATCGTCGTAGAAAAATTACAAGCGTGTGTATGAGATGCAGGGATTGGAGTGAACTCTTCTTTTTTTTTTTTTTGACTTGTCACAAAGACTGGCCATGTGCAGAGGTTTGAAAAACTTTATGGGGCCATCAAAACTAATTTGCCTCATGAGATGAAATTCAATCTATCTATCTGATCTCTTTAAGGTGGTGCCTTCAGGCACAATCTGAAAAGAGCTTCCCATATGCAACTAGTCAATTGTTTTAAATGGAATCTATCTATCTAGTGTTTGAAACCAGCCAGTGTTTCATTTGGCCTTCAATCCATCCATCCCTTCCTCCATCCATCTCTGCAGCATGGTGCACATTGGTGAGCACATCTGCCTCACAGTTCTTGTGCTTTGGATTTGAATTGCGGGGGCTCAGGCTCCCTCCAGAACAGAACAGACAAATATTTTAAAATACCCATCCATCTTCCGATCCACTTTATCCTCACAAGGCTTGCGGGGGGTGCTGGAGCCTATCCCAGCCATCTTTGGGCAGTAGGCGGGGGACACCCTGAACCGGTTGCCAGCCAATCGCAGGGCACACAGAGATGAACAAGCATCCGTGCTCACACTCACACCTAGGGATAATTTTAAATGTTCAATCAGCCTGCCATGCATGTTTTTGGAATGTGGGAGGATACCGGAGTACCCAGAGAAAACCCACCCAGGCCCGGGAAGAACATGCAACCTCCACACAGGAAGGCCGGAGCCGATCGAACCCACAACCTCTGCATTGTGAGGGCGACGTGCTAACCAGTGGACCAATAAGCCGCCATGTAAAAATATATATCATATCAATGGTTTTGATAGTTTGAATGTTTTTAAACATATTTGATATGGAGTAATCCAAAAGTAATTTAAAGTATTAAAGTTAAAATACTTTAATATTTTGGCCAAAAGTAATTTAAAGTATTAAAGTTAAAATACTTAAATATTTTGGTACTTTAAATACATGACTAAGGACACTTTATAACAGGTAGACGTAACAATCTGTATTACTGCATAAGGGTTAAATACATTACTAAGGACACTTTATAACAGGTAACTACTAACTATCGGAATACATTTTTAAAGTAACCCTTTGGACCATGGTGCTTGAATTGACACATCTATGAACATATAAGTCGAACATGGTGAGATTAAGGTGTTCACAACATGTATTTTAAAAACTTTCAATTTAATGCAATACAGTACTTCTCTTTAGTGCAAGTAAGCACACTTGATAGAACTATGCTGTTGTACACAAATTATTATTTTTTTAATGCCGCACACATTTTAAACCAGCTGAATTACCAAACGCAAACCATCTGTACTTGTACCTGACTCTGTGTTGTGCTCCTCTGCACGGGAATTGTAGTACTGATAGAGGCTTCTTCGCAACTCAAGGTTGTGGAACCACACCTGCAGGAAGGTGTTGACATAGCACGTCGCACCCAGATTGGTCAAACCAACAAACGTGTTCTGTAAGAGACAGAAAAACAGACAGTACTACAAAAACATAGAAATGTATTGTATTGTACTCTGCACAGTGATTGAACTGATCAAATATTCTACCTTATCTCTTCGCTCTGAATTTGGGTCATCAATATTGTGGAAAGAATTTTCATCAATCTCCCCAAGCCACGTCTGTTCCCCAATGCCAACAAGACAGTTGGGGTTGCCTTTACAGTTCCTCCTGCAGTCATAGCATATACACTAATCAAATCCGATATTCAAAGAACAATTGCATATACATACACTGTATGGGATGCTAACAATTTGGATACGAGTTTCTAAGCAAATTTATGTCACAGCATAAGACTGAACTCGGGAATCTAACAACTGCTCATTGAAGATTCTTATTGGTTAACGTGACGTTTATTGATGTCATTTGACGTCGTGTCGCAATACACAGGGTCCAATACGAGGAATAAAGACTTGATGCGCTGTGTTTGGTTGATAATTTTCCATCAAAGAAAATATACTCGGGGGGTGTTTAACTTGTTATTCACTGTTATCACAACTGAAAATGATGGGACATTTCTGAAAGTACCTGCAGGTTCCTCTCTTGCAGGCCGCAAGACTGATGCGGTACGCTAGCTCGATATGCTCCTGTCTGATATCTTCAGGTTTGACAGATTCCACCCAACGCCAAGCCGCTTTTTCCAACTGTAAGCGCGGCGCCATATTCCTGGGGTGTAGGGTTCACCAAAACGATCAACTGTGCACACGAACAAACTGCAATGTAATGAGAATGCTAACACAGGCTAAATGCGTAATCACTTCGGAAGCAGCCTTCCACCGATATCTAATGACCCGACCTAATTCACGCAACTAACGGAAGTAATATTTTACATCAGCGACAATTCGACACGTCGCATATAAAAAAAAAACGCAGTCAAATTTGCTGTTTCGCATAAGAATTACCCTGCTTATACTAGTGGCTCGTTAACTTGCTAAAGTCGCGCAGCCCAACCCGACCTAGTCTTGTACTCCGTATTCCATTTAAGTCTATTAAACGCTGACAACTTCTGAGATAATGCCAAGTAATTTCGAACCTTGATTCACCAATTGGTTCGTGTCACTTCACATTTTATTGAATTTTATTTCAGATTTATCGCTCTTGTGTTCGTAAAAATGATCACTTAGCTAAAAAAAAAAAAACGTGCACGTCGTCAACATATGACGTAGGAGACCGCCCTGGAAGGGGAAGCTGATACTGTTCTCTTCGTCGCTTCTTCTTCTTCGTCGTCGTCGTCTTCTTCTTTGTGTACGATAGCGCTTTGGAGACTGTAATAGTACATTACCGCCACCTATTGTTCTGCAAGGATTTACATTTAGGTTATTTTTTTTCAGTCGGTATTATGAGAACTTGCCCTTATGGATGGATAACCTATTTTAGTGTCAGCGTATATTTTGATGTCATTATTGTAAATGCTGTGTTAATTATATGGTCCACAGCATGTATCCATCCATCCATTTTCCGATCCGCTTTATCCTCACAAGGGTCACGGGGTTGGGGGGGGGGGGGGTGTTGCGGCAACCTATCCCAGCTGTCTTCGGGCAGTAGGCGAGGGACACCCCAAACCAGATGCCAGCCAGTCGCAGGGCACACAGAGACGAACAATCATCCCATTCAACCTCACAGTCACACCTAGGGACACTTTAGAGTATTCCATTAACCTGCCATGCATGTTTCTGGAATGTGACGGGAAACCGGAGTGCCTGGAGAAAACCCAAGCAGGCACGGAGAGAATATGCCAACTCCACACAGGGAGGGTGGAGCCAGAATAGAACCCTGCACCTCTGCACTGTGAGGTCGACTCACTAACCAGTTTACCACCGGGCCGCCCCTGCACAGCATGTAGAGAGTCTGTTGTAACTGGTAGAGTTACAATTAATGTGCGAAATTACTGTTCTTGGACCTCTCTTTTCCTGGAACATTAAGTTCTTGAGGTTAATTGTTTAGCATGTATACAGCCCAGCACACTGTGAACCCAGATTAGTTGAGTGCACTTGGAAAATATGTTAAAATTTAAAAAAAAGGTACATCAATTCAACTCAACATTTTCAATATTTATAATTATAACATAATATCTTTAATTGAATAAGCAATACTTATTCGTTACACCTTCAAATATTAAGTAATGACAATAATTTCTCAAACATAATTTTCAGTTAAGCACCAGAGAAAGGGATTCACGTATGTTTATCGCAGTTTGTGAACATACGTGAAAATTGCAAATGTTTATCGCAGTTTGTGAACATAGAGAATGGTGGGTTTTGAATTAGGGTTCATTAAAGTAAGCAAAATGTTGCTAAGCCTTTCATAAACAGTTGTCATTTTTTGTGTTTGTGTTTGTTCCAATGTTTCTCAACTGTCCATCCTTTGCTGTCGCACCACTTTGCAATGTTTATACAGGTATGTTTAACACAGTTAATAGACTGTTGACCATCCAAAAATACCTTTCTTCACATTCACAATACAGTCTTACTTGACCAGCAGAAAATCATACAAATTAGCCCTGAGGGTGTGACTCCCATTATGACAGTCACCAATGTCTCCAGGTCTTGGGTTGCCCATCCTGCCAGCTAAACACTGTGCCCCACTTCCATTTGAATGAGAATAAAGGTGGGGTTAAGACTAAAAGTACACATCTTTAGCCTTTTAAGCTGAAATGTACGAGTGCATTCTCCTATTTACCCAAACTAGTAAAGTGTACTTGAACTACTCAATAAGTGCATATATAGATATCTCGAAATGAGCCACTGAGGCTGAGCTTTTGATTGGTCAAAATGGACATGCATCGCAACCAGCCACCGCTTCCAAACACTTAGAAGTACAAATTTTATCCGCACAAAAGCAAAACATTCAACCATTTTCACAAGGGTCACGGGCATGCCGGAGTCTGTCCCAGCTGTTTTCGGGCAGTAGGCAGGATGCACTCTGAACTGGTTGCCAGCCAATCGCAGAGCACACAGAGAAACAACCATCTGCGTTCACACACCTCGATACAATTGAGAGTGTTTCATTAACCTGCCATGCATGTTTTTGGAATGTAGGAGAAACCCCACAGAGGCACAGTGAGAACATGCAAACTCCACATGAACCCGGAGCCAGAATCGACCCCTGCACGTTTGCACTGTGAGGTGGACGTGCTAACCAGTCGACTAACATGCTGCCCCAGAAGTAAAACAGTTTTGTTCCAATCATAGCAACAGCAAAAACATTTGTGGCATCTTCGTCAAATAAAAGTTGTCATTTATACATGTAGAAATGATTGTTTCCCTTTCATGCAGAAGTTTAATTTTGCTTCAATTACAAAATTACAGTGATCCCTCACCACTTCACGGCTCCACCACTCAGTGTTTTAGTTTTTTTTTTTTTTAATAATACATTTAAAAAATAATATTGGTAACCACCATATTGCGGGAGGACATCCACATACAAACACGAAAATTCCTGGAGGGGGTTGGGTAGGGTGGGGGGCAAATCCTACTTGCAGTTTTTGACATTTCACAGGGGGGTGGGGGTCATACCAAGTAACCGCAAAAAAGAGGAATTACTGTATTTTCCGCATCTACAAGTCGTTTTTGCTTCAAATGGAGATGCATTTTCCACACGAGTTATCATTTCTATAGCTCTACAAAATTTATTTTATTTTTTTACAAATAGAATACAAAATCTCTGACATTTCCTTGGTACAAGTTACTTTTGCACCAAATTTACCTCCATATTTCCATCCATCCATCCATCCATTTTATCCTCACAAGGGTGTGCTGAAGCCTCTATCCCAGCTGTCTTCAGGCTGTTGGCAGGGTACACCCTGAACCGGTTACCAGCCAATCGCAGGGCACACATAGACAAACAACCATTTGAGGTCACAATCACACCTAGGGACAATTTAGAGTCTTCAATTGACCTAGCTTGCATGTTTTTGGAATGTGGGAAGGAACCAGAGTGCCCAGAGAACACATGCAAACTCCACACTGGAAGGCCAAAGCTGGAATCGAACCCTGAACCTCGACACTGTGAGACGGGTGTGAGATATAAAGGTGGGCAGACCTTTATATCTCAGAGAAAGTCACTTTTCAGAATAGAATTTCTATGTTTAAAATGTGTTTTTAGGTTATATATTTTGATTTCTATAGATTCCAAACTTGGGGTTTTCATTAGCTGTAATCTTAATCATAACCAAAATCATCGAAAAAGTCATGAAATATTTCACCATTACATAGTGAAGCTAAGCCACTTGCAAATCTTATCTTTGTACACGTGAGAATCAAGGGTAAAAAAATAAGAGGCTACCAAATTACAAGCAGTTTTGAACAAGAGTACATACAGGAGGTGTATTCTTAACTGTACACTTAAAGCTCGCAGGCATAGTTTAAAAGGCTTTAAGCCTGAAGTGATAAAACGACAGGTGCCATGTTTAACTGTTCTAATGAAATTTAACACAAAGCTTCGTAAACCTCTGTTAACATTTTCTTGGGACGGCGCGGTGATTGAGTGGTTAGCGCGTCAACCTCACAGTGCAGAGGTTCAGGGTTCGATTCCGGCTGTGGCCTTCCTGTGTGGAGTTTGCATGTTCTCCCAGTGCCTGCGTTGGTTTTCTCTGGTTTCCTCCCACATTCCAAAAACATGTATGGCAGGTTAATGAAACACTCTAAATTGACCCAAGGTGTGAGTGTGAGCGTGGATGGTTGTTCGTCTCTGTGTGCCCTACAATTGGATGGCAACCGGTTCAGGGTGTCCCCCACCTACTGCCTGAAGACAGCTGGGATAGACTTCAGCATGCCCCGCATCGTTTGTGAGGATAAAGCGGAACGGAAAATGTATGTATGGATATTTTCTTGACAGATAAAGGTCCATGCGGATGAAATAGGTGGCCTAAAATTGTAACGTCTCGTTGGTCTGTCTACCTTTGGTGCCCTGCCACCCCGCTCTCTTACATTCCCAAGTAGTTTGTTCCATTATGCTTTATTTACAAATTTGGCAAAAATTTATTTTCTGCGTATCGGGACAAATCGTCGAAAAGGCGTCAAGAGTCGTGGGCGGAAAAGAGGAAAAAAGAAAAAAACAGTGAGATGATGCTCGCACATGCTTGCACATACTCCTACCAAAAAAACTGCTGTACCTCAAGAAATGCTAATGGCGATTGCGTTATACAAGCTCGCCAAAAACAACCCAAAATGCTGTTGTGAAAAAGTTGTGACCTGCACATCGATTACGCTACGAAAATGAAATGGAATGTTACGAGACAAAGTTGTTTTATATCCAACAACTATGCCGACATTGTCGAGGGGTTCAGAGGGCAAGAGCAACGTCGATTGGTGAAACTGTTATTTTTGCAAAACAAATCGATCTTAAAGCTGCGTAGATTTCTCCCTTTAATATGCATTGTGTTTGTATTATGTCCATAATATTTATATAGTGTCCCGATCAGTCCTTGTCTATAAAGGTAGAATGTTGAAATTTTCACGTACCTGTGTTTTAAATATAGGCCTACATAATACTGTAACAGAATTTAGAAAATGTTTGAACCATGGTTGAAAACTATATTTTACTACCAAATCCCTGCATATTTTGCATTTTGCATTGCATTTTTTAATACAGGATCAATGCTTCAATATGTTCAAGGAGGAACTCAAGACCAAGTGAAAGTTTCACATGATCAACCACGTTTATTTGTTAGTAGTGCAATGTATTTATTTTTTTATTTTAAATTATTTGAGTAGTTGGTGTCATTGTTAGTGTTTTATAAATACGTAATTATTATTTAGGGCGCCTCGGTGTCAAGTGGTTAGCACGTCGACCTCACAGTGCAGAGGTCGTCGGTTCGATCCCGGCTCCGGCCTTCCTGTGTGGAGTTTGCATGTTCTCCTTGCGTGGGTTTTCTCCGGGTATTCCGGTTTCCTTCCACATTTCAAACACATGCATGGCAGGCTGATTGAACACTTGAAATTGTCCCTAAGTGTGAGTGGATCGTGAATGGTTGTTTGTCTATGTCTGCCCTGCGATTGGCTGGCTGGGGTTCCCCCGCCTACTGCCCGAAGACGGCAGGGATAGGCTCCAGTAACCACCCTGACGCTTGTGAGGATAAAGAGGATCGGAAAATGGATGGATGGATAATTATTATTTATCTCTTATTTTTGTGAAAGTTTTGGAAACATTAATGTTGTCAAGTTATTGAGTAAAATAAAGGAAAACTGACAAATACTCAGATATTGTTGATTTCTTTCAGGGGTGGTGCGGGGTGGTGGCACCACAAAGCATTTACGCTTAGGGCACTAAAATGGCTCGTGCAGGCCCTGCATGTTAGCAAAACGACACATTCATTGAGCCCATTTGTATTTTACGTGCAATGTTGGGAGTTGTGACGCATCACAAAACCAACGATTTACAAGAAACATCAGCAATATTTTGCAACATATCAGACGAAACGACGGTTGGTGCGCTATAAATACATGTCATGCCTTCAAATTCCCATGCTATGCGGCAGAGCAAATGACCACAAATGTCCTACCCGTGTCCGGAGTCGCACACAGGCCCTATTCGCTGGGAAAAAAAAGTCATAAAAAGGTTAATTAATCTTACGTGTCTTGTCCCAGCAGATGGTGGTAAGCGCACGGATATATAAACCGACGACACAGTTTAAAATAGATTAAATAAAGAAACAGCAACTATACAGCGGTTGAAATGTTCCAAATAATTAGGGCTCCCCCCGCCCCCACGATTCAAAATTGGCAGCCGAGGAACCCATAAAGCACCGCGCGGCTGGGTGATCTGTTGCCTCTGTGAATTAACTTTTGGAATTATTTCTGGTACTGTATGCTCATTTGTTGGGAGGCACCTGTATGTTTTATTTTATTTATTGTGTTCTTCCCCGTTCTGGTTTAAAAAAAATAAAAAAACGTTTATTCTTGCTTTTGTCTTCGAGTTTTTGGCGGTTGGGAGTTTTGAGCGTAACACGTCTCGCGATCTCTGCGAACGATGAATGGAAGCTCCGCCCCTTGCTGGTAAAAGGCTGCACACTACTTGTGAGCGTCAGGTACCGGTCAAAGATACCTCAGCGCTCCTATCTCTCACCGCTCCTCAAGGTAAAATGTGTTTAAATTCTTTCCGCTCGGATAGTTTGTTGAGTCGTTTCAGTGGTAGATAACACATTCTGGAAGATGTTTTAGAACTTTAGATTATTTTTAAAAGCTTGATTTCATGCATCTGCCTTGGAGATGTAGCCCGATCTACAAATTAAATGGACACCTTCCTCAATTGATACGAAAAAACCTTTTATAGTCATTTTAGTCCCTCTTGGATTGAAATGTGTTGTTTCAGTCTTTGGTTTCTGGAAGCCCCAAAAACAACAACAAAACTAAACAAAAAATACGTATGTGACTTTACGCAATGTCATTTTGGAAACCACTAGACTCTACAGGGGTAATTATAGTACAGCTCAGATGTATGTATGTATTAAAAAAGTTCTATTAAAAATATCTGTTATTTAAAAAAATACATTAATTATCATGTAAGCACAGTAGCAAGCTGGGTAGAAGAATGAAAAAATAACAGCTATTATATTTGTGTAGATTTTTTTGTTGTCTTCTGACTTTTAATTTTTATTTAGTACAGTTAGTAGTAATTTAGTGGTAGTCATTTTACATGTGTAAAGTACAGTGTTCTTTTAAGGCAAAGATTATGGACCGACCCAGTTCCATTGTGGAATCAGGTGTTAATCCATTCCCTCAGCAGACACACAGAGGAGCACTTTAGGAGAGAGGGCCAGAGGGTGCAAGAACCAGGAGGGCAGATACAGGACAGCATCTAACAGAAGCTTAACTAACCACTGCTATCTACCTCTAATCCCCTACGTTTTTGAATGCCGTGCAACTGATAGGTACAAAAAGGCTTTGCTTAGCTGGGACTGACCTCACCTGTGGACATGCAACCATTTATGTAACCCGGACTGAAAAAGGAACATGGGGTGTGAAACAGGTCAATGAAGGACCATTACGCATTGTTCCCCTAATTTCCAAATTTAACCACTGTAAATATAGATTGAAGATATGTCCCTGAAGAACAGGCAATTTAGTTGGATACATACAATCAGTGTTTTTCAATAGAAGAATTATGTATGACATGCACTCCATGACATCATAGTCAATATTTACAAGAACAATTTTTTGTTCTGTTTGTCGTCACAAGAGTTGCAGGTGTGCTGGATTCATTTGCGTATGTTATGATTTTAAAGTTTCACGCCCTTTGCTTTTCAGGAGTCTACGGCAACGTCAGAGCCAAGATGGGGCGGAAGGAGATTGTCTGTAGTTGGAAGAAACCCATAAATAACATCAAGGATGTGTTTGACTTCAAGGGGAAGATGGGATCGTAAGTACTGTGCGTTCAGATGAGAAAGTTTGAGAGAAGTCAGACGGGTTACAAGATGCCACCCTCCTAAATTCATCTTTTGCCTTGCAATGCTGCCATTTACAGTGAACCTAATTTACCTAAACCAAATATCAAAAGGAGGACACTCCAGGCTCAGATTGGCACAGGTTTAAGGATAATCCTTTCATCGCCTTCCGCACAACTGACTTTATCAATGGAACCTTTAATACAGTCTGTGTAAACCACTCACAGCTCCACCTTCTAGCGGAGGCTGTCCCATTTTTGGTATGCTGGTAGAGAGTGCAACATATTTAAGTCTAATAATGTTCAGATTCTACAGCCATGCAGTATACTGTAGACTTAAATGAAATGCAACCATTTTGTGAGTTTGATAAACGAAGCAGTAACAGTCTGTATATAAAGTAGAAAAAGATCGAAACCAAAGCTGTAAGTAAAATGTTTTATAATACGGTACTAGCCTTTTGCATGGAAACTGTGCATCGCACTTCCTATTCCGTTTGATTTTAGACATGAGTGAGTAAAATGAATGGACAGAGCCAGGAGTGAAGAGACACACCGGAGTGTATCACTTACTCACAGAGCTCTAGCCATGATCACATTGCGAGGCAAAGTTGGCCTCACAACAACAAAAATGAAAGAGAGTGAGCTGCATCGAATACTTGTAAACTTAATTGTAAGCCTGTTACCTCATCACTGTCTTGTGGACTCAAAGCTGCTTAAAGTTCTCTTATCATGGACTGGCTGATAATAAGTATGGTGTGTGTTTGTGTGTCCCTGATCAATGACGTCAGACCGAAGCAGTGTGGGAACATCCTAGCCTAACTTCATTATGGGATTAGGAGTCTGACTGAATATACAGTATTTGTGTTGAATGCACACTCTACTTTATTTCGTGGATGTGCTGCATATCAGAGTTAAAAGCCAAGCAATAACCCGGCGCTGTGTGCAAGAAACAGAAATGTCATATTTTTGACCCATCCCTCGATTTACCCTTTTTTTCTTTTGTGGTTCTGAGGTAAAGCGAATAATTCTTATATCGTAACTGAATAGCAATCGCTGGCGGGTGTGTGATTCAAATCGCAACCTGATTCATTCAAGTGCATCAAGGCAAGTTTCTGTCAGGCAAATACCGTACATTGTGTTGAGAGTTCGGCAAGCACATGATGAGCAGCAAGCGAGGATGTTTGTTGTGTCAAATTGGCTAGCTTTCTGTCCCAATGAGGCTGTGACATGAGCAAGGGGGTTATAATGACCCCTGTCAAGTTTGTGGAGCTTCAAACTGACCAGATCCTCCCACAGTAGGAAAAAAAAAAAACGTTAACACTCCAGTTATTATGATGCAAGACAACAAGCGTGGGTGGCCCGGTGAGGGACTGGTGAGTTTGCATGTTCTCCCCCTGCCTGCGTGGGTTTTCTCCGGGTCCTCCGGTTTCCTCCCACATTCCAAAAACATCCGTGGCAGGTGAATGGAACATTCTAAATTGTCCCTAGGTGTGAGTGTGCGTGCGGATCGTTGTTCGTCTATGTGTGCCCTGCAATTGGCTGGTAACCAATTCAGGGTGTCCCCTGCCTACTGCCCGAAGACAGCTAGGGTAGGCTCCAGCACGCCCCGCGACCCTTGTGAGGATAAGCGGGTCAGAAAATGGATGGATGGATGGACAACAAACCGTCCCATGCCGCAAAAAATACCAGTGAGGCTTTGGCTGTAATGGTTACTAAGGCCCTGTTCACCGTCAGCACAATTAAAAGCCTGTGAAACATTCCTCAAAAGGAGCTCTGTGAGGGTGAATGGAGGTATACCCTCCAAAATAAAGTTCTGCCAACTAAACATTGATTTACAGTTTCAGTGAATGAGAGAGTTATTCAGGTGGTGTTAATGTTAACAAGTTACTTCAAGGGCAACAATATTTTGGGGTTGAATGATACCTGCAGTGAAATAACAGAAATGTGACAGCTCTTTTCGATACTTTAGATTTTTTTTTGAACGGCTGTGCATAATCATTTGGAGCATTGTATTTGGAGCAATTTAATAAAAAAAAAGAATGTGTCAAATAAATATCAAAGGTTTTTACAGATATTGATGATTTTAAAAATTGCATTCAGGCATAGACAATCAGGAAAATGAACAAAAATGGCAAATGTCTAATAATTTGGAGCACTAGTGAGGATAAGCAGTATGGATAATGAATGAATGTTTGTTAATTAGCTTAGCCCCCCCATCAAATTTCTACATTGCTTTTCCTCATTAAGGTTGTGTGTGTGCTGGAGCCTATTTCAGGTGACTTAAATTGAGGTACAACCTGAGGCTGGACACAAGCCAATCACAGGGCACATATACAGTGGATAAGCACAGACAAGCAAGCGTTCATACTCACATTTGCAAATGTGGGAGGAAACCAGAACCCGTATGATGAAAATACTGTACACTATTTCAGTCTCTAATTGAGGGACAAAACTGCCTTTGCGTCAATAATGGCCTCCTCCCTAATACTGTAATCACCTTAGTCCGACAGGTATATACTCTTACTGTTGAGTAAATAAAAGCCCCCCTGCTAAGTATGTCACAGTATTTTGTTTTTCTGCTGTGCTTTGTCCCGTTGAACAATTCACCGACAGTGTCAATCAAAAGTGACTATTATTAACCTTGAAAAGGAAGATTTGTTGATGGAGCTTTTTTATTGGCTCTCATGAAGATTGTGCGTTAATGGAAGAAGCGGTTATGTTTTGACCAGTTGGTGAGCATTCACTTTCTGACCCAACTTTCCTGAATGTCTTTGTCATTGTTTTGTGTAGGGGGTCTTTTTCTGAAGTTTTCATGGTGAGAGAGAAGAAAACTGGGAAATTGTTCGCTCTGAAGTGTCTGAAAAAAAAGCACCTCACCCACAGCAACCTGGAAAATGAAATCAATGTTTTGAAGAGGTAAAACACACATAGCTATCTTCTGAAAGATAGAGACACCTACATCTGCATATACTGTACCTTAATTATTTTGTTTCAATGAGAAAAGTATGCATCCACACAGAAAGAAACAACTTTGGTCTCTGAAAATGTACTCATGAAAGGCAGACATTATTTTTGTGGTCCACTCTGCCATCAGGAGAGAGCACCCTTCAAACGTGACACTATTTGTGAGGTGTTTGTCAAAATACCCTTCCACAGGTGCTGAAGTCTCATTAGTTTCTAAGTCTTCGATTGCATTGCCTCAAAAATGTTGAGCAACAAACTCAGGATGCTGTACAGTACTATCATATGTGTTCTGGCGTTTTTTGTTTTTTTTGGTTTTTTTTTTTTTGGTTTACAACTTAGTTTGACCACAAAAATGAAGCAACGCCAGATTTTGCTGAAATTATTTCAGGACATTTTGTTGGAAGTATTATGACTTTTGCCAGCTTCAAGGTAGTTTTGAGGAGTTTTTTTTTTTTTAACCCTTTCAGGGACAGCGGTTACTACAGTGGACAGTTTATCGTGTTATCAGGTTACAGGTTATCGTTATTGATTTGATTTTGATTTGACTTTTTATTAGGTCTCCCATTGGATGCATGAAAGGGTTCAGGAGGGTCCCAACAATTTTGTCCATGTGTCTACTCGTGGCGCTAAGGTCTGCAATGAAATCTAAACGTCTTTCCTGTGATTGCAGGATAAAGCACGACAATGTAATAGGACTGGAGGATTTTTACGAGAGTCGAACACACTACTACCTGGTCATGCAACTGTAAGTGTAGATGATGGTATACCCTTGAGACCCTTGGTTACATATGTGCAGTAAAAGAGTTTTTTCCACATTCCTCATTTATGTGCAGGGTGTCAGGTGGGGAGCTATTTGATCGGATTTTAGATAGAGGTGTTTTTACGGAGAAGGATGCGAGCCTGGTGATCAAACAGGTGCTGGAGGCTGTTGACTACCTGCATGAAAACAGTATTGTGCACAGGGACCTGAAGGTAAAACGCATACACGCAAGACAATGATATAGTTTCGTTTTTAAACTGTAATATCGCAAAACAATGATATAGTTTAGTTTTTAAACTGTAATATCTTATACTCACCCATGTTTCTCAATCTCTCTGTTCTTCTCGCACTCTTCGGCTAAGTAGCCTGAAAACCTGCTGTACTACAGTGCGGATGAAAATGCTAAAATCATGGTTAGCGATTTTGGCCTTTCAAAAACATTGGAGCATGGGGTGATGTCCACAGCATGTGGTACACCCGGATACGTCGGTAAGTTACTTAGTGGGGCACACACACAATCGAATCAATTGCAAAGAGATAGGTCTGCTTTTAGTTGATGATCTGCTCTGCTTTTAACAAAAAATGCTAACGCTATATTGATATTAAGCAATAAAAGAAAAAAAAATGAATGAATCGCTGTTGCCCAGCTGTTAAGTTATTCGCACAGTGTTGCATATTAAGGTACCTGCATGATTATCCACTATCAATTTCCCTTGTAGCTCCAGAGGTTTTGGCCCAAAAACCCTACAGTAAAGCTGTTGACTGTTGGTCCATTGGAGTTATTACCTACATCTTGTAAGTAGCTTTTCTTTTTAACTTATACTAGACTGTCATTTGTTGCTAAAGCGCTACATAAATAACGATGTATTGCAGTGGTTCTTAACCTGGGTTCGATCGAACACGCTCACTTGGCCATCGCTTGCTGCAGATGATCACATTACATTGCTTGTCCACTCAGTGCTGCGGGAAATTTCGTTTTCCCAGTAGTCACCGTGTGACTGCCGTGATAGTCCGTTGTACAATTTTAAAAACCTATACTTAAGACTTTTTCTGTTTTTCATAAATGTGTTTTTTTTTTTTATGTCTTGAATTTTTATTTTTCACGAATGAAGGCTTCAGTGAACGTGCATATGAACTATCCATCCATCCATTTTCTGATCCGCCTATCCTCACAAGGGTAACGCGGTGTGCTAGGCGGGGTACACCCTGAACTGGTTGCCAGCCAATCACAGGGTATATACATGAACGAACAACCATCCGTGCTCACACTCACAACTAGGGACAATTTAGACTGTTCAATTAGCCTGCCATGCATGTTTTTGGAATGTAGGAGGAAACCGGAGTAGCCGGAGAAAGAAAACCCACGCAGGCACGGGGAGAACATGCAAACCCCAAATAGGAAGGCCAGAACTGGAATTGAACCCTGCACATCCGCACTATGAGGCCAACATGCTCACCAGTCAACCGCTGTATTATATCGTTCACACAATTATTGATGCATTTGTAACCACTGGGTTCTCAATTTTGTGTTAAGTACACAGTCCATGAACTGCAGCAAAGGGCAGCTTTCCAGAATCTGGGAGAGTTAGCTGACCTGCTCAATGTTTCCTTATCTGTGAGGGTGCATGCCAGTTGACGGGATCAAGACTGGTGCCCTTTAGTAAAACAACAACATTCATTGTTACTGAACCATTTCGTAGGGCAAATTGTTTCTGTTATCCAGGATTTTAAAACAGTACACCGTAACTGAATTTTCCATGGTAAAAGTGATTACATATTTGAAGGTAGTTCTCTCTGTGTTCCAGGCTGTGTGGATACCCTCCGTTCTTTGAGGAGAACGAGACACGTCTGTTTTCAAAGATCATGAGAGCTGAATATGCCTTTCACTCTCCCTTTTGGGATGAGATCTCTGAGTCAGGTATGAAAAAAAAAAGTTTTGGAACCATCCTCCTTATCGATATGATCATTTGTAGATTGTTCAACGTACCAATAAAAACAGTGCAGACATTAAATGTGTACCACATTGATTGCACAAAGATCCAATCTGTCACTGCTGTAAATCGACAATGCATTAAAAAAAAAAAAATCAATGCACACCAGATCCAAGGAATTATGGTATGTTTGTGTACATAACATTTACTAACTTTACTTAGTACTAAGACCTGGATTTGACAACAGCATGATCCAATTCTGAGACACATTCAAATGGCATATACATCGATGCATAAGATTAGCCAATAGGGCATGAAATATACAGTATAAACTCCTGACCGACAAAACATCTCACTTGCATCGCACCACCTTGGCCTTCCAAGCAATATGCAGTCATCGGTAACCTTAATATCAAACAGAGGAGTACAATATGCTTTAAACAACTTATTCTTGACATTTTCCAAACACTTTACAGAAATTTTACGGGCGAAAAAACTATTTGCTCTGACAGGTAAAATGATTGTCACCTTTTTTTTCGCTCTCCAGAATAATCCGGAGAGAGGTGAATTCCACAAGCGTCGACGCATAATGTTTTGACCAAAAAAAAAAAAAAAATGTTTATCTTAAAAAAGGCAAGACCGACAAAGTACAACAAAAGACACTGGTAACAAAGAACCAGGAAATAACGAAACAAACCAAAAACGCTTGCAAAAGGCAAGGATCAAGTAAATAGCTTGTCCAAAAAAAAAACCAAAAAACAGTAAGTCCAATGCATGAGAATACTTAACTGAAGAACAATAACAAGGAATTACAAAAAAAAAAATACTTTTAACACGTGGCGAGAAGCTATTAAGCAAAAAAAATAAAAATAAAAAATACCCATGAACATGTCGAAAATTCAGGCATTTGAAGACAAGGGTGGCGAGCAAGGCTGAAATAATCCAACAGCCAGGTGTCGGTGTGGCAGAGCTTTTCAAGGCAGATGGATAGCGAGGCTGCGTCAGATGCAGCTCATGACGGAACACCTACCATATCCGCCGCAAACTGAAAAAACAAAACAGGACAGACACTTTTGGTCTGCAGATCTTAACACTCTTTTTGGGCATTGTATCTTCCATCAAATTGAATACCATACTCAGAATGTATCTTCCACAGCTGTTGAAATCTAGCCCTGCTAAGAGAAAATAGCCGGATCATCAGCAAAACTCCATTTCCAACAGCAAATGGAACAGAGACTGCATTTGCCCATTTGACCTGCATGCTCTGATTGCTATAGCAATATGCCAGGACCCTGATGAAACTCCTCTTTGACTCCATTTTTGGAACAATTTATGATGGTTGACTCAATCAAAAGCTTGATAGGCATGGATTTTGGTTTAATTTGTAACAATGTAAACATATTGGACTCTGTGTATCTATTCAATATCTTCACAGCAAAAGACTTCATTAGGAATATGATGGAGAAAAATCCCATGAAACGATTCACCACTGAACAGGCCCTGCGACATCCATGGTGAATTGATTTTTTTTTTGTCCTTCATATTCACACATGGTTACGCTACGAAAGATTTTTTTTCTATGAAGACACCATTATTGCAACACAGTTAACAATTATAACTGACTTTCTTGCAGGATTTCTGGAAACACAGCTAAAGACCTGGATATTTATCATTCGGTATGTGAGCAGATGGAACGGAACTTTGCCAAAGCTAAATGGAAGGTGAGTAACAATGTAGGGTTGTCTATATTTCAGCTGTCATCATCATCATCACCATCATCATCCTCACCAGGGTTCTAAATTATTTGTTTTGATCACCAGCCAATGTGGCCTGTGATTCCCTCAAATTACCAGCTAATTAGGATTTCCACCAGCAATTTTTTTTAACTTGATTTTTTAAAATCAGGCATAAAGATCAAAATTGATTATTTCAGAGGCCTTTTATTTTGAAATGTAACATCAGATCTTCATGAAAGTATTGTGGTTGGATACCTGGGGTGGCCAAGTGTTCCCGAGACCGCGTCTGGTTCTGGTTTAACTAAAATTCACTTTGATTTGTTTTTTGTTTTTTTGTTTTTTTTTTAAATGAGGTGAAATGTTATTGATGTAGAGTCAAAATTTACTTTATTTTCTATCTCAACTACAGAATGTTTATTTTACAACATTATTTTAAATCCAAACCACTGACGTATATTAGGTACAACGCCGCACGTAGCCAATGGGCGGATTCAACGTCATTCCATAGCATCACGGCACAGTACTTATTGGAAATGTCGGAGCTACTGCCCTGGGTACGAATGGCTGAGAACAAAATATGGCGTAGAGTTTATCAGACTGACACGATTGCCTTCTGCGTCACTGGCCAAACTGGCGAGAAAGTTTTTATCAACACCCACTAAAAATGTTAACCCACATTTGGCGGGTGTTAATTTAGAGCCCTGATTATCATCAGCATCATGCGTTACGATATAAATCATTGATGGTTTGGCAAAATTGGTCTTGGAATTAATTTACATCCTCAATTTGATTTGCCATTCATATTGCCGAAATTACAGGTAGATTATTTTTGGCCTATCCCCGGGATTTTGCTCTTCTCTAATTTTAATTCTTTACTTTCTGATGCCTCTGCTATTATAAACTCCAAAAAGAGGTTGAATAAATAAGGCAAATATTGAAAAGCCGGTGAGAACATGAAGCACTGTCATCTGTTGCCGCTACTCTTTCGAGTAAAAACTAATTTTCCAAACTACCTTTCAGGCTTGTTAAATAGAAATCTCACATGCAGCTCGTATAAAACTAGTTCATCAAATATTACATCCAGCTTCCTCGCACATACCAAAAGCATACATGTTAACTCATTCAATCCCAGCCATTTTCACTGGAGCAACCCCCTCAATCCCAGCGTTTTACTGGATTTTGACTGATCTTGCAAGGCCCACAGAATATTTGGTTCTAATGCTATATAAACATAGAGCCTACCAAAATGAAGTTTGGACTCTCTTCTTTCAGCAGAAAAAATGTGTTTCTATCTTTTTCCATTCTTCAGCAATCGGCATTACAAAATGGCGAAGTTTCATGAAAATGGCGATTCCTGGCCAAACCCAGAGAAAAAGAGCTTTTTGTAAAAGCACGCATTTCAAGCACGTTAGGCACCACTGCCACCTACTGGTCCCTTTTTTACATGATTTACAATGCAAATGGCTTATTCTCATTCACAGATTGCATCAGACCCACCTCCTCTCTATGAAGCAAAAAAAAAAGACTGAGACGTACAAGTACGTCCTTGGTTGGCGGGGCCTAATTTTAAAAAGACGTACAAGTACGTCTTGTGGAATGAAAGAGTTAATTAAAGAATAATAAATTCTCTATAGCTTTGTGAATGTATCACTGTAATCCTCAAGAGGGTAATCTGCGGTATTGAATGAGTTAATACAGCTATTGTGTTTCAAATTTGGGCAATATAACAGAATCGTGGATAGCACTTCTGCCTCACAGTTCGGAGATGTGGCTTTGAATCCCGCACATCTTTGTATGGAGTTTGCCTGTTCTTCCCGTGCTGAGCCGCACCTCTTTGTAATCATGCCTCGTTACCAGCTGCATTAAAAGCCACGCCACGCTGACGACTGGTTATCAGATTAATAAATTTTGCTCATTACTGTTTCCAAGGGCTTTCCATTTCTAGACTGTCTCGATTTTTGCCTCATAGTTTTGCCACGTAGTTCTTTGCGTTTCTGTTGTATTTTTTTTCACTACGGTGTGGTCTCGGTTTTGTATTCTCGTGTTTTGGATTCCCCTTTTAGTTGACAAGCTTTCTTGTTCCTTGTCTTTTGCAAGCGCTTTTGGTCGGTTCCGCATTTTTCCGGTTCTTTGTTACCAGCATCCTGAGTTGTACTTTGTCGGTCCCACGTTGTTTTTGTTAATAAACACATTTTTGTCAGACGCTCTTATCCTTGTCTACGTTTGTGGTATCCACTCCTATCCGGATTATTTCGGAACCTAACAACTAAAGTGACATGTTTGTGTCATGCAATGACAGAAAGAACCCTTTTCACCTCATTTCTCCGTCAACAGCAAGCCTTCCATGCAAGTACCGCCATCTACCACATGAAGAAGCTGCAGGTGTCCCACAGGGAGCACTGCTCAGTCACTCCTCTCTCACTGCCCCACATCATTGTCCAGACCTCTTCTCAGACTGACTTAGAATCTCTCGGTACCTCCAATGACGAAGCTCTCTGCATGGACCCAAATGGAAATCCTCTCCACGCCTCCAGTCACCTCGCTTGCATTGCTTCTGAGCCCAGTAGGGGTCTCTGTCCTCCAATAAGAGGCCATCATAGGGAACCCAACTACCTGCTTGCGGAACCAACAGAGATCCACTCAATGGGCTCAGAGAATGACACTTCTTTCATGTCATCCAAAAGGTCATAAATGCTCCTATACTGATGAATGTTAGCTACAGTATTAGCCTCTTAACGATGAATCATGTCTGCATTGTAGCCTGGAGGCTGTGGCTGAGAGAAAGGACCCGCCACTTCAGTCTGGCATTTGTTCTGTCATGTGATTGGCTGATAAACATGAGACGATTCTCACGTAAGTAAAAGGCTTTTCACTCTCTTGGTCCTTTATTTTCCAAAACTAAAACTTTGCCATCTGTTCGGAAATCCTTTAATTCTACAATATCTGCAATTTCAGGTGACAACACCAAGCGGCATTGTTCTTGGCTTGAAGATGTCAGCGCATTGACTGCCCTACACTTCGGCCCTCAGAGCTGAGGAAAATATTTTCTCATGACTCACACAATCAGTTTAACTGGAAACAGTCTTGTACTTTTCTCTCTTCTTTCCCTCCTTTTAACTAAGATCAGAATATATTCAAAAGTTTGTTTGAAGTTGATTAACTTTATCTGTCTGGATTTAATGTTATCTGGAAATTTGACATCAGTTGATGAAAAAATACAACTTGAACATCGAAGGGCCCAATTTTGTGTCGGTCATGGATAATAACTTATAAATCACTAGTTTTTGCGGTTGGAAATACGTATACAAGCGGACTGCCGCATACCCGCGTTTCAGCATCCATGGATTTCCATTATTGCATCTATTTTTTCAGTATGTATCGTTTTTGTCCCCAACACTCCATTTCCCTTGCTTTTTTCAAAGAAAATGCATATTTTAAATTACCTTTTTTTAAAATATTTGGTTTCATTCTTTTTTTTCCCCTTCAATGCATTTCAATAAGCATCAATTGTACGCAGCTTTTCCCTATTTACAAATAATGGGGGTCCACTCAATGAATTTATCAAGTGCCACAAATTGGTATAAACGCTCTGTAAAGAATTAAAAATGGAGTGAAATGCATTTTCCCCCCCTCAATAAAAAATAAAACTATTCCATGTTTCTTCATGTGATGATACTTATGCTGTACCATGTCAATCTTTGTACACACAATGAAGCATAAGTAAAGCTTTTATTAAATATGATGGGTTCTGCACAAATAAAACATACAATAAATAATAGTATACTACAAGGGTGTCCAAAATAATTTGACATCATTTGTTATATGAATCTAGTAGCTACACCCCGCTTTAACAAAATTAAATGGGCTTTATGTTATTAAAAAAAATTGTAGCCAGCCAAATTCAGATATTTTCAAACGGATATGGATTTTGTAACTGATTGCACTAAGCTTTTCAAATGCACATCACCTATGTGTTGTGACACATGACAAAAAAAAAAAAAAATTCATTGCGAGGCAATGTCATTGTTCTGCCAGAATAAAGTACATTAAACCTCATTTTCCATATCTCATATTTTAGCAAGAATTGATTATTCACAGACTACAAAATGACATCAAATCTTTGTGACAGCCTGTAGGTTATGCAAAGGCAAACGTGGTACTGATACATTTTGTGCTGAGATTTCCCATGTCACTTTTCAAACAAAAGACATACATCGGCAGATTACCGCAATGGAACCATTGACACCCTCGCTAAATGTTTGATATAGTATACGCAAAGGTGGTTCTTTTCATGAAGAATCATATCTTTCCAAACCCGACACGGTGCATCTGTCAAAGAAAAGGTGCAATGTTATGGAGACAAGTAACAACAGTATTTGAGGGTTAAGGAGAACGTCTGCTTTAATGAAGACTGATTCTGTTAAACATTGTGTCTTGTACCGGAGTGAAAATAACTTGTCCCTCAGCCCTGGCAGGTGCTCAAATCATGGCCTTTCTTTTGAAGTTGTGCCACAAGGTCTTTAAGCTTGGCATCAAGTCCCTCAAGCTTTGAGGACTTTTGAAGAATCTCATCCTGCAATTGCTTCAGCGAATCGGCTTTTCCTGCGGAGAGGCAATGAACGAGGAATTAGTTTAAAGATGTCTTTGCAGTTGAAAGACATGGTGAAATCATGATTTTACTTGTATTTATTGATTTTTTTTTTTTTTTGGTCAAGTTGTGTATAGTTTCTTTCCACCAATCTCAAGTGTACGGTAGGTTAAAGAAATCATCCATTCTGGATGCCTAAGAATCAACTCAAATGGTATTTCTAGAACAGTTTTCACGCATTAAAAATCCAACACAAACAATCAATCAAAAGAAAAAATACAGAATACACATGAGACACATGTATCCCATCCCCACACGCAAACATACACATTTATCCGAACTCATTCACCTCAACACACACACACACAGACACACACAGTGCATACTGTATTTCGTGACAGTATGGAGACATGGCAAGGCTCTGAGGATCCAGGTGAGGAAAACATCCGCAACAACAGAGGATGCTGCTACAGAGACAAATCCAACCGTGGATAGACTGGGGTAAATTTCTGGCAATGTGAAAAGTGCCCCCCACTCCCGGGTCCAGGAAGTCCACACAATGACAACCCTGTAGGTGGACAAAACACAACTCCCCAGCAAGGAGGCTACCACGAGGCCAGTGTTGCCTTGTTTTGTCTATCCATCCATCTATGATCTGATTCGGTTGTCCTCACGAGGGTCTCGAGGCTGCTGAAACTTATCTCAGCTGTCTTCGGGCAGTTGGCGTGGTAGACCCTGAACTGGTTGCCAGCCAATCGCAGGGCACATACAGGATAGACAAACAACCATTCTCAGCCTACAAACAATTTAGAGTGATCAACTAACCTACCGCGCATGTTTTTGGGATGTATGAGGAAACCAGAGACCAGAAAATCCACGCAGGCACTAGGAGAACATGCAAGCACAGGATGGCTGGGGCTGGAATCAACCCTGCAGCCCTGGACTGTGAGGTGGATGTGCAAACCAGTCGACTACCGTGCCAATTTGCCTTTATAGTACAATGATCCCTCACTTATTGTGGTTAATGGGCACCAGGACCACCCGCGAAAGACGAAAATCTGCGAAGTAGGGTTTGCACCCCCCCCCCCAACCCTGCCCCCTAGGAATTTTTGTGGAAGGGTTTGTGGGTACCAGCATGTTTAAAATATGTAAACAGTAGTTATACTTTACATATTTGAGACAAAGACTATAGCAATACACATTTTTACTGGAATCTTTAATTATAAAACCTTATACAGTAATTAACATTCATCAGCATTCCCTTTATGCAGCTCTGACAGTGTAGCCTCCATTAGCCTCCTGCGAGCTGCTGGCCAGCTATCCCGCAGCGCGCAGCCAATGTGTTTATGATTAGACAATTAAGGAGGCACGTGCTGCTTTTTTCGTACAAGCCCAATCACCCCCTCTCTCTCTTTCGGGGTGTCCAAACTGTGGCGATTCATTTTTAGTAGCGCGGAGCACAGACTAAGGCTACATTCACATTGCAGGGTGTGACGCCCAAAACGCGACTTCTAATGCGAACGGAACGCGTCCATGAAGTGACACGCTTGTGCACAAAGCACGACGTCAAGTGACTAAAACATAAGATGAGGTCACGTGGCAGTTTATGGAAGTAAATATGGACCAGCGTGCAGGAACTCAATTTTTTTTTATTGTCTCGTACCCATAGAGGAGCGATGTGGGAGGAGGTCGAAATATTAAAAATAATATTTAATAAAATTCGGAGCTCATGATTATTTGCTAAAAAGAATCAAGGTTTTCAGTTTTAACATTACATATCCATCCATCCATCCATCCATCCATCCATCCTCACAAGTGTCAAGGGAGGTGCACGAGCCTATCCCAGCTGTCCTTGGGCAGTAGGCGGGGGACACCCTGAGCTGGTTGCCAGCCAATCGTAGGGCACACACAGACATACAATGCATCATCAGAGAAACATCCCATATTTGTCGGATCAGGGCGCCATAATGGCTCCGTTCAAGCATTCCTGATGACGGGATGGCTGGAAATGAGAGAGATCCTGAGTGCTTGCTCCTTTTATTTGCTCCTTTTTATTTATGTATTTATTTATTTATTTTTGTTGTCCAGTCTAAATTCAGTTGCAGGCTACTTACTCCCTTACGCCCTCCCTCCCTCTCTCTCTCTCTCTCTCTCCCTGCTAGATTTTTATCAACACACATAAAAATCAATTTTAACCCTGATTTGGCTAGTTGGTGGGTTTTCATTTGGAATCCTAGTTGACAGGTAACTACTTAGTTACTTTGTAAGAAAACAGAAAATACTGTACCACGTCTGAAGCAAGCAGGGGTTCGATATCTGCTCAAGGACACTTTAACAAGGTTGCAATGGCCAGCGATTGAACCCCCGACCTCTGTGTTGGGAGACGACCACTGAGCCATGCCGCTCATAATTTATTTTAGCAATTTTAATTCAAGCCTATTTTTATCTAATCTTACTGTCTTAGTTTTTCTTTTCTTTTTTTTTTTTCGCTTAAGCTCCAATGTTTCCTCATGCCGGGCTGGGAGGAGTGGTGACTGTCATTCTGGTCAGCATGGGTGCTTTTTTTTTCTTATATGTTTTCTCAGTGACTTGCCATGTCTTTTTTAACATAGTTTATCAGGTTACGTGTGTGTGTTTTGTGTGCGTGTGCACATGTGTATGCAGAGGCATGCTTATGGGGGTTACTGGTTACATATCTGTGCACTGTATGTCGGGGGAGCGGGAGGGTACTCTTTTTATGTTGCATTTTCAATGTTTTAATTGCAGAGCACTTTGAGTTGCATTTTTATGGATGAAAAGTGCTCTATAAACACAATTTGATTGAGTGATTGATGTGGTAAATCTGTTACCTTCCAGAGCCTTCAACATGCCGTCAGTGGTGTTGGCCAGATTCCCAGCATCCTTCATGAGCTTTGTAAGCTGTTCATCCCCTGGCCCTGCTCCTCCAGGAGGCTGTCCAGAAGTAGCCTTATTTTTGAGAAGATCAAACTGCTCCTGCACCGTCAACAGCTCCTAAAAAAAAACAAACAAAAAAAACAAAAAACAAACATGTTCATGGTATATAATGTATGTATTAGCGTATGTATGTATGCGTACATTATCGTCGAATACCCTCATAAAAACAAACATGGTATTGCATTAACAGTTTGCCTGTACAAACACACAGCACGCAGTACAGCGTTTAAGGCCTGCAGAATAAAAATTTTCATCCGAAAGCCTGATTTCTGATCATCTCCAAGCTGACCTTATCAGCATCAGCTGCTTCATCCGCAGCTTGGTCTGCGGTTTCCTGAGCGTCCTCAGCTTGTTCGGCTCCATCCCGCAGGAGATCTTTAAGCTCATCCAGTTGCGGTTTGATTGGATTCATCACGGATGACACATCATCCAGAGTCTTCTCTGCTGGTTTCAGTTGATTTTTGGCCTGGATGAAATCAGATATTATAAAACTGAATCATTTTTCCAAATGTATTCTCTGATTGTCCCTGTGGATAGTTTCTCTATCACCCTCAACAGGATAATCACATGGCATACTGTCGATAATTTTTCCCGGGTCTTACCTTAGTAAGAGTTCTATTCAAGTTGTCTATGGAATCCATGCTGTTCTGGAGTTTGTCCTCCATGTCAGTGAGGGAGTCCTCCACGGAATCAAAGCCTGCCAGCAGTTCATCCACATCGTCCTTCACCCCTAGAGCCGTGTCCCTGTCAATATGCCATTAATTGTCACTCCGAGGACTCAACAGAAACTTTTACATCATTCGATTCAGAAAAATCACACATTTCTGAATTTGAGAAAGAAGACTTTTAATGCTGTAAGTGATGCCTGATGAAGTGTCAATGACGTGCAGTCAGGGGAGGCAGAAAATTCTGTATTTCCTCCTTAAATAAAAAGAGTCTCCTTCGGACACGAGAGGTGAGGCATGGACAGCTGATATGACACAAATCCACAGGGAAAATGCTTACCTTGAGCCAGCCAATACCTCTGCCTCAAGGAAGGCGGCGATAGTGAGTTGCCTGATAGCCTGTCACCAGCCAGGTCACGGTGAACTCTAACCCATGTGCAAAAAGTAAACAAGAAGTGTGCTGTGCGATGCTACAAGTTGTCATTTCTCACCCTGGAAAAGGAGGATTTCCTTTCCAAACTAAGACATTTTTCAAAGCTGGACTTTGAAACAAAGCAGGAAATCATAAATACTGGGAGACCTATGCCAGAATTACCAGATTTGCTTCAAACGACGAGAGTCGGGAAAAGACAGGAAACTACTCGTCCTTTTCAAACAAAATGGTGTACACGTGAAGACTGACTTTGTGGCTAAATAAAAAAAGCGACTGGTTTCCATGCTTTTCATTCTCAACGAGTGAGACTGACGACTGTGTGTACCGTACGGGATTTTGTGACTTGAAAAAAATTGCCAAAAATTCTGCAAAATGCATACCTGAGTGTAGAACGGTTTTTAAAACAATTGAAGGACTCGGGTTATTTTTCAGCAAGTCAACAAAACGCACTCACTTAATGGATGAAGTTGTGAAGCGCTGTTTAGCAAGAGCAGCGCCCACTAGATGGAGCTCAAATTCAAGGCAGGTGCTTTTAATAAGTATGCAACAAAGTGATCTGCATGATGTATTCCGTGGAATAGTGGAATAATGACACCCTGATGATGGCCAATGGATATGATAGGTGATTATCAAAACCATCAACATGCTTTGACATTATGACATATGAAGAAATTTGAGTGCCTCCCCAACCCCAACCCTCACTGCACATCACTGTTAACTGTAGAGTTTAATCTAAGAACGGAATATATTCAAAGTAAACCGCAAACTTTCCAGGTTGGATATTCACCTGGTATCTTGGGCCTCTTGCAACAGTTTTCTGGCCGCATCCAACTGCGGCTCTGACTTGCTCAATATGGACGTACTGTCCGGTAGGTTTTCGGCAAGATTTTTCAGTTCATCGAGCTTCTTCTTCAGAGAATCCGGGCTGAAAGGCAGTTTGGTTTTAAGGATCCGGTCACTCACATCCTGAATGTGTGTCAGGTTGGATGATGGGTCTAGATCCAGAAATGAGACAAGTTTGAGGCAAAAAAAAAAAAGAGCTAAGATGCACATACACACAAAGCATTCTTTCTGAGAAGTACACTTGTCCAATAGAATGAAATCCAATACACAAACTGTTTAAAGGCAATCAGCAGAGATAATAATGGTCAGTTTTGATTGACACTTGAGGAATATAATCTTCACAGTTCTAGTTTGCAATAGTGTAGTTCTTCACAAATACTATATTGTAACGTTACGATCTTTGGTGAAAATAAACTATTTGATATCAAAAAAGCTTGTAGTACGATGCTGGATAAAGCTAGATGCTCCTATCATCCCTATCAAAAACCACCACTTGTTCTGAATACCCAAGCTAACATGACTAACATTTTCCCACAAAATTAGAGCCGTCATCCCATTACACAACAAATAATTGTACCTGACAGGAAATCTTTGAGCTCTTTCACAATATCCTTTGCCTCTCTTAGGTCATCTTCTAGATCATTTCTGGCTTCCCTTATCTTGTTGGAAAGATCGTCTGTTGACTGCCTCATGCCATTGGTGTTGTCTTGGGTGTTTTGGAGCTGTGAATTAAAAATACAGTAAAAGTACAGGTACATATGTTTGGTTAAATGATATCGAAAAAAGAGTCCATAAATAGTGTTTTTTTGGGAGGCCGGGGCTACATATTGTGATGTGATGGTGTTATTAAGAGGTGGATTACATCACTATATACCACATGTGTTAAACTCTAGGCCCGGGGGCCAGATCTGGCCCGCCAGGTCAATTTATGTGGCCCGCGAAAGCAAATCACGTGTGTCAATGAGTTAAGATCTGTACCAAAATGTCAAAGTGTCATGTGTAATAACTAACGTTGAGATTTTGTAATAATTTTGTTACCCTGTTTACCCTCACTTGAGCAATAATTGAACAAACTATTTTATTTGACTGGACTGATTTCAAAACTAGTAATCCATTAATTTGTTGTGTACAAGTATCGGTAATAATTTTGTAGTTTCACTGTCATAACGGCCCTCCGAGGGAAGAAGTAACTCCAAATTGGCCCGCAACTAAAATGAGTGCGACACCCCTGCTATATACCCACTGAAGGCCCTGGTCCAAAACGAACCGCCCGCCACTGGTATTTTTAATAACTATAGATATATTTATATATGTGTGTGTGTGTGTGTGTGTGTGTGTGTGTGTGTGTGTGTGTGTGTGTGTGTGTGTGTGTGCGTGTGTGTGTGTGTGTGTAGTTGTACCTTCTCTGCTGCCTCCGTGATCTTGTTGCTGAGATTTTCCAGACGATCTTTTACATCCTTCACATCGGCATCTGCCCTCTTGCCCAGAGGGAGGGCACCAACACATGTTGAGCCCTTCTCACAGGGCAAAGTTCCTTCAGGTGGGCACAGGTCCCCACCCTCACACATGAGTGGAGTACAGGGCTCGGAACGAACACTGCCACATACCTGGAGAAATATTCATCATTTAGACACAACTTCAAGCCCTAGTAATTAAAATGATGGAGGCCTAGCCAGTACCTTTTTAGCAACAGGAGTGAGGTCTGGGCGGGACGCCATGCTCTGGTTTAGTTTGTTGACCTCTCGAGTATTGTTTGGATATTCTTTTTCCTGAAGATCTAAAGTATCTTCTCTGGCATCAGCTGATTCCTTGACAGTTTTTTTGGTAGTATCAACTTTCTTTGCGGCATCTGCAGACTCGTCATAGGCGTTTTTGATGGTATTGAAAGCACCTGAGAGAGAGAAAAACTCAATATGAGCAGAGTTTATTGGATTCTGAAATATGTTGAAGGCAAGTCATCTCAAAAAGGAAACAAGAAAAAAGAGAAAGCAGTTGGAACACATGATGAAATATGACAGCATTGAGCGTATCATGACAAGCGCAGTGAGGACTGAACAGGATCGAAACAGAAAAAGAATCTTCAGCAAAACACTGAAGTTCAAACATTACAGATGCATTTCATTTTTCTTTTTGTCTTTTTTTTTTTAATTCGAAAAGGCCCCGCCTCAGCAAGGAATAGTCTATTTATACTTGTGTGACAATAACGAATGGTAAAAGTAAGGTGTGCATCTGCAACCAACGACAGGTGGGTTGTTATGTTATCATTTGTCATTGAAGTTAAATGAAGCGGTTCGGAAATGATTTAACAATTGTCATTTTCTTGTGACAATTGTTAAATCATTTCCGAACCGCTTCATCCTCACTAGGGTCGCGGGGGGCGCCGGAGCCTATCCCAGCCGTCTTCGGGCAATAGGCGGGGGACACCCTGAAGCGGTTGCCAGCCAATCGCAGGGAACAAAAAGAGAGCGTTCAATTAACCTGCCATGCATGTTTTTGGAATGTGGGAGGAAACCGGAGTACCCGGAGAAAACCCACGCAGGCCCAGGGAGAAAATGCAAACTCCACACAGGGAGGCTGGAGCTGGAAGTGAACCCGGTACCTCTGCGCTGTGAAGTCAACGTGGTAACCACTGGACTACCGGGCCGCACAATTGTTAACTATGCATCGATTTTCTGATCCGCTTATGCTCACAAGAATTGCGGGGTGTGCTGGAGCACATCCCAGCTGTTATTGAGCAATGGATGGGGGACACCCTGAAGCGGTTGCCAGCCAATCGCAGGGAACAAAAAGAGAGCGTTCAATTAACCTGCCATGCATGTTTTTGGAATGTGGGAGGAAAACCGGAGCACCCGAAGAAAACCCCCTCACTCAGGCATGGGGAGAACATGCAAACTCCACACAGGAAGGCCGGAGCTGGGATAGAACCCACGACCTCTGCACTGTGGGGTCGACGCGCTAACTGTTACCTAATGAACTATTTTTAAGGCATGACTGTTACAAATATTAAAATATTTTGGCAGCAGTCAAACTGGTTTAAACAGCGAGCAAACTCCGCTCAGGGATCAAGGATCACTTTAAAAGTGAGTGTCTGACTGAATATAAAAGGTTTTATCACTGACCTGTGTTGCTGGGATTGATTGTGTTCTTCATGGCTTCTTTCTTGATGTTGTATTCAACAATTAGAGTGTCCAGCAGGACCTGAAGTTTGTCAAGCTCTTTGCTCGGATCAGGTTTTGGTGGCAGAGGAGAGAGGCCATTGTTTACATTGTCCACTTGCTCCCTGTGAGATAAATAGAACTAAGTGAGTGAACTCAAGCATTCATATTCATCCATCAACTTTATATCGCACTTATCCTGTTTGTTGCTTCACTTTGGGCATGTTTGCTGTAGCATATACCAGTTAACTTTGGGCAAGTGACGGCCCCTGAGCAGATTGCCAGTCAATCACAGGTCACATAGGGACAGATCACCATTCTCACTCACATTCACACTTTCACATAGTGGCAATTAACCGCCTGCTGCATGCCTGGAGGTCACGTGAATAAACTGCACCATCAGTGACATTATTAATATCAGGAAACATATTGAATTAATAATATCAATGTTAATAAAAATATTTCCACACCTTAATTTCTTTAGTTGGAACAGAGCATCATCAATCTGTCTTGTAGAACTGGGAGGAAGAGAGATAGAGAGCCGAATGAAATTCAGACGAGCTTCAAGGGCTCGAATACGGGGCTCCAAATTCCCAAGGTCGCCAGAACCTCCCGGACGAGAAGGGATTTTCAAGGTGAATTTCTCCAAGGCTAAACCGAAGCTTTGTCGCTGTGTATCCAAGGAGAAGAAGCAAGAAGGACACATCTTGCAATTAGGGAAAGAGTCACAGCGTCCTCTCATGCACGAGTCACATCGAGCGCCTGTGATGCCTGGACGACACAAACAGCTTCCCGTCTGCTTGTTACAAACTTGGGTGCCTTCAGGGTCACACAGACAAGCTGGGAACATCAAAGGAAAACAAACAGTTGAAATATGTAAGATTCACACAAAATGACGATGATTACTTGATTTACAAAATATGAATGCCAACAATCATCATCAAGGAAAGTAATGAGAATGTTTCTTCACATCTGTCATGACTTTATCCACACAGTATACACATATTGACTTTTGCAAGATTGAGGGATGTCAAAACATCAACCTCTGATAGTAGAAGGGTATAACTATTTTTCATGCGTCTGTGTTATTGTAATTACGATCATGAGAGAAAAAAAGACCACACAGAAGATATCAAGAGAAACCGACTTACGCTTGCAGCCAATGAGAGGATCGCCATATGAGTTGGCTGGGCAATCAGTACATTTTTGGCCTCCAAAGCCTGGCCTACATTGACACTGACCTGACAGCTAGAAAGAGAAACAGAAAAGGTAAAAAAAAGGCTTTCACCGAATGGAAAAACACAAACAACTGCATAATAATAAATGAAGTCAAGTCAGTGATTCTCAAAGTGTGGTGCTCTGGCTTATTATGAATAAAAATGATCTAGTCACTTTTATTTCCAAGAACCCTTTTAAAAAGTGGCCTAAAAATCTTTGGTTGACCAGAATTCCCAATACTTCTGCAACATTTGAGAAGTACACGTTTTCTCATGTTTTAGCCCATGGCGACATTTTACGTTAACATCCATCCATCGTCTATTTTCTGACCCGCTTTTCCTCACAAGGGTCGAGGGGCATGCTGGAGCCTATCCAAGCTGTCTTCGAGCAGTAGGCAGGGGTCACCCTGAACTGGTTGCCAGCACACATAGACGAACAACCATCTGTGCTCACACTCACACCTAAGGACAATTTAGAGTGTTCCATGAACCTGTCATGCATGTTTTTGGAATGTAGGAGGAAACCGGAGTCCCTGGAGAAAACCGACGCAGGCACGGGGAGAACATGCAAACTCCACACAAAAAGGACAGCCGGAATCGAACCCTGCACCTCTGCACTGTGAGGCCAACGTGCTAACCAGTCGACCACCGGGGCGCTTTTACATTAACATGTTTAAGCAATTAACCAACTGAGCAAGAAATTGAACTCTTCAAGGCTATAAAGTTGCATAGCCCCATTACTCAGAAATCATTCCTCATCGTGTAATTTCTCCCTTCATGCATGACTTTTTGTACAAAATCCTTCTCAATTAGAGTAAACAGCCTCCCGCTTCATATCATGCAGGGTGTCCCATTTTTATTGGAGGAACGAGAGCAGGAGCGAGTATTGTAGGTCACACCTGGTCACAAGTATCGCTGAAGGACCTTGTGGGGTCACAGTTGCAGAGTTCACAGCGCTGGAACTGCGGCGATTTCCAGTAGCCTCTTGCACACGATTCACAAGTAAGGCCATGGAAGTGCGGCCGGCAAGGACACTGGCCAGTCACTGAATCACAAATGTCTGATAGTGATCCCTCTGGAAAACAGGAACACTCTGGATAGAAGAAAGGGGGCGGGAGGGGGGGGGGGTAGAGGGAAACATAAATGAAATTCCTGACAAACATATGATTACAGTAGTACATGTCATGAGTGAGTAACAAAAGAAAAGAACAATATGTTGTAATTTCATTGTTATGGAGACATTTGATACCTTCACAACTTAAAACAGTTCCCAAGTCTCAATAGTAAGCCAAACTACAAAATATAGAATCTTGTACTACAGTCTTCATCACGCTGAAATCAATATGTTTTGAGGGAGCAGTTCTATTTCATGCAAATGAGTAACGCACCACTCTAATGTGCTGCTTACGACTTTTGTTACCAAGACTATCAGGAGCGGGGCTTGGGCCGAGAAACTTTGGTTTGTAGCTGTCCAGTGTCTGGAGAAAAATGTGAACGCATTAACAAATATATTTAGTGGATTGGCTTCTTTAGTTTCCGATGATGTCTTTTGAGTTTACACAAGACCTATGAAAAGTCTTTTGGGAGGAGATCTAACATTCCCCCTTTTTAAATGTATTGTAATAATTAATTGCATTGAATTAGTTTCATTAATAATCATTTAAGGAAATACAAATAGCGAAATGTTGCACTTGGTTTTTTTGTTTCGTTTAATATATACTGTATATCAATAAATATTACCTCAATGTCTTGAACATGTATTAATTTGCCCCAAAGTGACATGAATAATGTGCGGTGGAGACAGAAAACGTTGTTGAAAACAAGTCAAGAAACCAGCTGACTCACTTGTGCAACCCAGAGGATTGGATGCAGAAAGACCATAATAGCCTCGTTTGCACCGATCGCAGCGTGGCCCTTCCACATTCATTTTACACTGACACAGGCCTGTATTGTCATCACATCGTCCCCCATTCACTGTCCCTTCAGCATTGCAGACACAACCTAGAGGAGAATGGCTCAAATAAGGACAAACTGCACGAAATCCATGCAAGCATACTACTGTTTAGAATTCGGAAAAACTCAACACATGCACGACTACAAACAAACTTCAATTTTAAACTCAGGCATTTTTTCCCCCATACAAACGGCCTCCTTCTGATGACTTACGTATACAAGCATCGGGACGATCCATCTGGCTGTTGGGATTGGGCTGGTAGCCAGGGACGCACTGGTCACAATGTGGTCCTGTGGTGTGGTGCAAACATCCTTCACACACGCCTCCACTCCTCCGGCCGCTGGCTTCATACAAAACTTGGTCAAATCGACAGCGCTGGGCGTGGTTGTTACACTCACAGCCTGAGGTGTACAGAAAGAGAATTGAATAGCTACTACTTGGGGGTCAACAAACACAATCAATTCTGGAGTTTGCTGACAAATTCATTTGGTTTGGTTTCCCCATATAGTACACAACTCATAAAAGAACCATGTTGTGTTGTGGTCCAAACTCATTTCCCCAAACAGGCGGTTGAACCAATTACTGTCAGGGGGGCAAAAGAAGAGTAATCACGTTTTCAGTCATGGCTGATTCCTGTCATCTCTTCTTCCCAAATATTACAATCTCAAACAAGTTGTGTGAAGTGTTACAGTTTTCAATATTCAGACTCCTCCCATTGATCATCTCAACTCAGTGATTCCAGAACTTGTGGGCATGTGTCTTACGTCTGCAGGTGTGCGTGTTGCCTTCCTCCGCAGGTCTCCAGGGTAGATCATTGTAAAGCTCATCACAGCGCTCACAGTTCACACCAGCAGTGTTATGCTGGCAGTCACACTGTGGGCTCACCTGCAGTTGTTGACAACATTACCCACTTTCATTTATTAAGGGTGCGCGGTTGAAACAGGTGTGCATATAACAACACTAGTCGATCCGGCAAACAATCTTATCGATAGTTCGATCAAAATGATGTGGTTGTAAGCAATGGGAATCGAACCTTATTGACGGCTTCCAGCAAGCAGTGACTGGCATGTCCGTGACACATGCAGCTGCCCATCACTTTCATCTCCTTCAAGGCGAAAAACCTACTGAGAGACCTGCCCGGTTGACGTGGCACCTCGCCCAACTCGGCCAAGGTTACCCTCAGGCCTGTTAAACCAGTCGCATCTGAGGGTCAAAGAAAAGTCCATCAGAAGACTCATTTTTGTCATGATCCATAATGCAATCAAAGACATTTGGTCATTATCCAATGACAAGGGAATCTATCTATTGATCAATCAATCCATTGATCGATCAATACACACACACACACACACACACACACACACACACACACACACACACACACACACACAAAATTATTATTTTTTTGCATATTAGTAGGCTGACCCAATAGGTTGACATTAGTTTGTTTTCAGTGTCGGAAGTTAAATGCTTATTTACAATCATATATGTCAATTTTTGAAAATAAAATATTTTTGCTTAGTCCTAATCCTTTTTTTTTTTTTTTTTTGGTTTTGGGGGGAACTCCATGGTCCTTCTTAACTGGGGTTTCTAAGGGTCTCGTAACATCCTACATGCAATACACTCTAACTAACAGAGGAACACAAAAACTAACCTTTAATCTTTGGGTTGCTGGGATCTGGGAGATAAGGATAGTGCTGCAGTGGACTGAACTCGATCTGGAAAAGAGAATACTTCATGTGTGTGTTCTGCATTCATCATGCTGCATTCCATTTTTTTTCTTTTCCACCGCCAAGGTTTATGTATTGTGTCCTCACTTTAATTGGAGTCTACCATGAAATTACTTTTGTTGGAACAGCCACATCGTGTGGCACTTTAAACACAGACTCGGGGAAATATCAGAAAATAAACCCTAATATAAAAATTACAATATTTTTTACAGTTTATGAAAAAAATATATATAAAAGAAAATAAATCATGGCCATTTCAGAACAGTTGACTTTGGTAAGAAAAAACATGAGAACACAGTTAGCGGTATACAACTATGTATGTCTTGTCACTTCTTAATGGTAAATATGAAAAGAGCAAAAATGTTACTTTGAATGTAATGGGGACTAGACTCTGTATTTTATTTCAAATGCAAACATTATTGAGAAGACCTGAGCTGTGGGGATCAATGAAAAGTACATGAAAAATTGTTTTTGGTATTTTTACCATCAGAAGATTAAAAAAATGGAGGCTGTGAGAGAAATTGGGGTTGTGCTTACTGTATGATCTTGATATGGGTTTGTTTCAGTAGGGGGCAGCGTAAAACAATATTTCTGCTCCTCAGTAACGGGCGACGCGGTGGAGATCCCTGGAAATGATTTCTGGCAGTCTGTAGCTAAGTAGAAGGCAGGCTGCCATGTCCTGCCATTATCCAAAGACTTCTCTATAACCAAGGCACTTGGACGAGGCCCCTGCAGAGAAAATCAGATTCAGAAATGATAAGTGCGCTCAGGTCGAATAAAAGAAATGTTTGGAAAACACAAATGAGAGGAAAGGACATAAAACAATACTGATGGTTTATGAGAAACGCTGCACATTTTTACACACCTTAAATTTAAGGATCAGGTTGTCGAGCTTGAAAAGATTGTTGAGGTCCAATTGAAATGTTACTGGAGCCACCTCTAGAGGAAAAAAACAATCGAGTAAAAGCGCAATCATGCATTATTATCAAATATTGAGGAGAGAGAGGAGACAGTATTATCATCTAGATTCTAGAATATATATCACCCAGACCCGTCATGATCCTGTCTTGTTTGTTTAGTTTTTTCAGTCTCCAGCTCTTAACCTTGTTAGAGGTACAGTACCGAACCCATCAATTCATATGCACGTTCACCGAACCCTTCATTAGTGAAAAATAAAAATATGGCTTTTTACAAATTCAAGACATAAAAATTTATTAAAAACTGAAAAAAATTAAATAAAATTTCAAGACATAATTATAAGGTTTTTTTTTTTTTATTTTACGACGTACTATCACGACAGTCACACGTTGACTACTGAGCGAACTAAATTTCCCGCAGCACTGATTGGACAAGCAATGTCATCATCTGCAGCCAGCAATGGCGGGTTTGTCAAAACCAATTGACATCTTGAGTCAGGTGTGTCTTAACCGCCATGGCAGAGGCTCCGTCGAACCCCTGAGACCGATTCACAGAACCCCTGGGGTTCATTAGTTCATTACTTTTCTCCTTTAAAAGCCATGCCACGCTGACAGTCACAACTGACTGTCAGATTATCAAGCCTTGCTAACGTTTTAGGTTTGTTCTTGTCTTTTCCCGGTTGATTGTTACCAGCGTCCTTCGTTGCACTTTGTTGGGCTTGTGTTTTTGGAAATATAACTTTCTTCAAAGGCTCTTGTCTTTGTCTACGCTTGTGGAATCTTTCCGGACACCTGGAAGCTCAAGTTTTTTTGTAAAGAGAAACTTGGAGGTTTATCTTTGCTCATGCAATAATTTGAGGTGTTTAAAGAAAAGCAATTATAATTTTCAATGACTGTATATGTGGATTTTTGCTACTCGCTACGTGCTTCTTTTTTTCCTCCCAAAGGGGAAGTTTGAGTTTTTCCGTGCCCATTTGGGCGTAAAAAATCATAACATGTCATCAATCATTGTCAACTGGTGGCCTGTGAAACCCTTTGAGACGAATGGATGGATGGACTTAATTCACTTTTACATTTCCTGTAGGTTTTAAATCCTATTAAGTTTCTCTTGGGATTAGGATTGGGACAGAAACCCTTACAAAATAATGCCCATACACGTACAATAGCTGTATCTTCACACATGCAAATATTATCTGTGCATGAACATAGCTTGAAAACAAAATGGCTTGTTCTCCATTCACCGCTTGCGAAGAAACACCACACTTTTCAACGTTGCCTGAGGAAAAAAAACAGTGTGGCAATTTCATGAATTTTTTTGTGAATTTTCAGGCCTTCAAAAACAGCTGAGTTATTGTGACCAACAGTGTGTCGCAACAGCAACAGAATGAAAAAAAGTTTTGCTATTACTTTTCATTTTTAACATTTTCAGGTGAAACACAAACAGTTTCAAAACAATTGTCGAAAATCTTGAGCCGCGTTGGTAGCGCGGACCAATCACAAAGCACACAAAGCAACGGTGTGTTTGGCGGTGAGAGATGCAACTGCGACGACACAAACAAACCAAACATGGCGACACCGGTGGACGAATGCATGGACGCTGCAATTAATTAATAACATTTTAACACCCTTTATCCGCATGTTTAATTTGCAAAAAAAATAAAACAAACAAAAAAACTATCAGTCAACGCCATGATGCCATCTGTGTCAATCACTGAGGTAACTCAGCTGGTCAAAACTGGGTGCATGCCAGTGACGAAATTTTCATCCATTGTCGTGATTTGTCCAAAAAAAAAAATTGCTTGGTAGGCGTGTACGAGTTGCCTTATCACCCAATCAGCTCGAAGCATTGTAATGAATATCCCGCCTGTCCCGAGCACATCAGACAGGAGCAGTGCCAGATGTGGGAAAACTGCTTTGAATAATTCACATTATTGATCTGGTTCATACTTGGTAACAAAAAAATGGGGCCAAATTTGAAAAAAAAATTAAAATGGTGGACTTCCAGTTAGGTTTAGCATATAACTCCCACAGACATTTTTGTAGGTCTTGGGCTGCTTCATATGCCTACAACATTTCGTAGATGTTGGTGAAACATACAACTGGTACTTTTTCATCAAAACATTCCAGGTTGCACTACTGAACAATTTTTAAGAAAAGGCACAAAATATTGATTACTTTGTCAGTTATGATGCAAAGCGCAGTTTTCCTGCATGGGTAGACTAGACACTCAAAATCATCATTTTTTGGGGTGGTGGGGGGGGGGGGACACTGCATTGCCAAGGCAACATTTCACAAAGAATTACAAACTTCGTGTTTCAACACCTTGAAGGCTTAAACACTCTCTGAGCAAATATGAGATAGAGGAAAAAAGACAACAAAGAAATAAAGCATGTATTTTCTTTGGCCGGTAGGTGGCGATACCACTACGATGAAAAATAAGTTTGTAGATTTCTTCATGCCTGGACTCTCATCAAATGTGTGAAATTTTGACAAGATAGGATTATTTGGGTCAAGTTACAGAAGCCTTTTCTCATACTGTCAAATCATTAGAGCCGTGGCGCTGTTGAGGCCAAGCCCTTTGCCGAAATGTCAAGTTATTTTGTGCAAGGCGTTGATCAATAACTTCAGGCTTTATTGACAAATGTTCATTTGGATCCATTCACTGGGCTCTGTGCATTACAGTCAAATGAAAAAAAAATTGCATTTTCTGTCACTACTCGGTGGTGCTATATTACAAAATATTGTCATACAGATGTGAATACTGTATTAATATTTATGGAAAATATGTGGCGGGTTCAATTCCAGCTCCGGCCCCCCTGTGTGGAGTTTGCATGTTCTTCCCGTGCCTGCGTGGGTTTTCTCCGGATACTCCGGTTTCCTCCCACATTCCAAAAACATGCTTGGCAGGGTGGTTGAACACTCTAAATCAGTGGTTCTTAACCTTCTTAGAGGTACCGAACCCAACCCGTTAATATGCACATTCACCGAACACTTCATTAGTGAAAAATAAAAAAATATATTTTTTACAAATTCAAGATTTAAAAAAAACCCGCAATAATGTAAATAAAATTTCAAGAGATAAGTATATATATATATATATATATATATATATTTTTTTTATTGTACGATGTACTATAACGACAGTCACACGTTGGCTATTAAGTGAACAAAATTTCCCACAGCACTGATTGGACAAGTAATGCAATGTGATCATCTGCAGCCAGTGATGGCCAAATGGGCGTGTCATAACTAATTGACATGTTGAGTCGCATGTGTCTTACCCTCCATGGCAGAGGCTCCGTCGAACCCCTGAGACCGATTCACCGAACCCTTTGGGTTCGATCGAACCCTCGATCGAACCCAGATTAAGAACCACTGCTCTAAATTGTCCCTAGGTGTGAGTGTGAGCGCGGATGGTTGTTCGTCTCTGTGTGCCCTGCGATTGGCTGGCAACTGGTTCAGGGTGTCCCCCGCCTACTGCCCGAAGACGGCTGGGATAGGCTCCAGCACCCCTGGCGACCCTTGTGAGGATAAAGCGGATCGGAAAATGGATGGATGGATGTAAAGTTTGGTTTTTTTGGAGCATGTGCACGCAAGATGTTAAGCATTTCCTCTTTTGTGGCGAAGGTAATATGAAACGCAAAATCCCATATATGTTATTTTAAAGTCACGTTTTTTTTTTTTTTGTTTTTTTTCCTGTTGTTGTTCCAGGTCTTGAGATGATTGCTGTACGGCGGTACCATCATCGTATTCATCACCGGTGCGGGCAGCTGTTTTTTAACATTCGCCTCGAATGTTTTGAGGTCGGAATGTGACAATCTGAGTGTGATAAATCCGACTTCCCACCATCCTTGAAGTCTTCTGAAGTCTTACATGATTTGTCTTCCGTGTTGATGACTTCTATGTATTGAACTTTATTGTCAGCTTTAAATGATTGCATTAAATTCCATTATGGGTTGAGTTGTGGGAATTCTGACAGGACGCAACAACTCTCTCACCTGAACTGTGCCTCAGTCTACCTCAATTCCTTCTCATCGAACCCCAATTATTCAACAGAACAAAAGTCACCCCATGCTTTTTTCAAATTTTTTTTGGCCAACCTTTAATGGACTGCCACCATCTCTCTGGTCCAGCAGTGGAGAGCACTTCCTTGACAGTGTGGGCCAGTGGTCCATTTGGGTTTCTGGAGTCACATGGGCAGCACTTCATCTTCCTCTGAAGAATAGAAAACAAGAACAATAGCTGAATCACAGCCAATGCCAATGAATGGTCTTTGCACCAAAGGTGACACAATACCTTGGTGAAGTACGGTCGGCCACATTGGCACAATTTATATACATACTTGCAGCCATATCCGCAACCAAGAAGTCATTGTTTATCATAATAGTCACAGTGAGGGTTTTATGAGATAAAATGCACACATTCACATTAGCAGGAACAACGCTAAGTAAACAGCAATGTTTTGCTGAGCTTAATTTCAAACAATGCCATTTTTGTGTGTCCGATCTCATCGTCTATTTCTATCTCACGCACTGATTGGCTAGGCCAAAACCATTTTACATAATGTGATAGGTGGCACATTTAAATGATCTCGAAAAAAGCACGATGACAGAAAAAAATAATCTTCAAAATTCGGAAATTTGCTTTTTACTTCGTTTCTGCTCGTACTGGACAAAACTGGTGTATATGTGCATTTTATTTGAAACCATGAATGTGGATGGTATAATAAATGCTGATTTCTTGGCCATGTTGTTTCTTTGTTCTGGTGTGAAAGCAATTATTTTGATTGACTGTAAATATTAAGTGTTAAGTGTTCTATACTCATAACAGCTTCTTTTACAATTAGCAGTGAGATCAATCATAAGCTTAGTTTTTCTATATGCAGCTGTGTGGTAGAGTAACAAGGGTATAAGAACACTGCATCCATTTGAAAATTAGAGAAAAGTCACAAGTTTCAAAATGTGTGAGTGGCCAGAGAATGACCAGGGGTGGCCATGAACACCCCTGCTCACCACATAGCTCTGCCCTTCTGCCTACACAGGACTGCATTTACTCATGGTTGGTTGGTGCTGAGCGTGTTCATCATAAGGGAATTATGGACCCATGAGCAACTTCAAATTTGTCCCTTTGATTGTGCCTCCACCGCTAGATAAGTCACTGAAGCACAGCATCGGATCAATAAATAGGTTTCTCTCAGATTTTAGGACACTGGCGTCTAATTGTAGTTATTTTCTTTCAATATTTGTTGCTTTTGTACCATAATCCTCTATTCTATACTATTCTTTTCTATTTTGGTCTATTATAGTCTATTAATGTTAAGTAAAGCTTTATAGTATATTTTGTCCTGCACTATATTATTTTCATGTTTACTTGTTTTGCAGTAAAGTATGTGTTCCAGGTGTCTTTCTGTGTATTCATAACAAACATTTGTGCCTGCAAGTTAATTTTTGTATGGTACAGTATATATGTTTATATCCTCTCATAAAGTTTGTACTGTGATGCATTAATTTGCCTTGACAGCATTAAATGAATAAATAAGTTAACGTGGTGACATCCCAGTTGCTACTGTTGCCACTTAAGTCAATATTTAGTCACCCTGCTCTGTCCTGGAAGTGACTGCCACTCTCGCACACAGAATGAGAAACTGTCCGCCTATCCGCTAGGGAAAAGTTCCCAACCAGTTGTTCGTTGTTGCAACATAAATGTTTCACCAAAGTTCATTACGCTTACGTGCCTCAGGTCACACATTATGAATTTATTTATTTATTTATTTTGTCTGCTAAAGTCCAATATGAGTTCAGACGGTGGTTTTGAGTTGTTCAATCAAACAAACAAACAACATCAAACAAATTAGTGGCAGAGGTTACTGAAATAGTTTGAATCTGTGTTTGACCTTCCCTTATTTGAGACATATAGAGACATTTACCATTTAAATGGTTTAACCATTTCAATGCACTTGGTGTCATCCGCACATTTACAAATGTTGCAAAAATACTCAGCAAGCTCACTGACAAATGAACGTAATCCAGCAACCTCTGCACTCTGTATTTTGAATGTTTGAATTGAAAAGCATTCACAGTTTTTTGTTCATTTGTTTACTTATTGTCTTTTTTTCTTTTACAAACAAGGAGAAAAACAATAGATAAAACTTGATCAGGGAATTAATTTTTTTTCAAAGTTTGGTGAATTAACCCAAAATGACCAGCAATCCAGTAGAGTGCGCCACATAAACCTGAGCAGATTTGATTCTGAGTAAAGTCCTGCTGTTATTTGAGCATTTATTTTTAACCGTTTGTTGCTTTTGGCACAGTTCTTTATCATCTCAAACAAACATGGCATGTATTTGCATTCATTTCTTGCCAGTGATCTGATGCGTGACAAATTAAATAAATGTGAACCCAAGTAAAGGTAATGTGCAAAGATAAAATTGAAAATTATTTTAAAAAATGCATTCAGTACAAACCCCCCCCAAATTTCAATATTAATTGCAAACGTGTCCGTACTGGTTCCAAGGATGCACTGGTTTCCTGATGACATTACTAATGGTGTCAAAGGTTCTGCATATTATTGACTTTGACGAAGTCAGCATGACCTACGAACTATATGATCCATATAAATTCATGTTTAAAAATCACTATTTAACAACCAAATCCAATAGCTGCACTGCCCTTCAATCTATCTTTTTGAATCACTGCTTCTGGTATAACGTTTTGCACGAGAATAGATTACGATATGGGTTATCCAGTCAGCTTTGTTTGTATAACAAGCCAATAAATTCCTACCTCAAAATCAAATGTGTTTTTCTTGAATTGTACATTTAAAAATACATTAGATATTCATTTCGGATTTTGATTATTAATATATTCCAGGGCACCAAATATATGGTCAATGCTCCCGAGTGAGGCTGAAGAATGGAGCAGTAAGCTGAGAAAGCGTTCCCCACACCATCTGATTCGTGAGCTTAGTTGATTTGGGGTCTTAATCATTGTTGATCTTTATTGTTCGCCATAAGTGAGTATGGCAACTCTGAGATAAACATGGGTGTTGTTTTCTCCTCTCCCTGTCTGGTCAAAGTCACGCAGATAAATAAAATAAATATGGATCACCTCCAGAGAGGGGGAGAGTACACGCCTAACATGCCTAACATTCCCTCAGGCAGATTCACATTGAGAACATAGGCTGCACTCAGAAGAAATGAATGGGAGGGGAGCGCTTTTTATTTTTTATGAGAGACAAAGTGTCCCATAACCGATGTGTGTGACAGAGAGCGGCAGGGGAAGAACCCGGAAGAGAAGGCAACGGCAGTAACTGAGGACAAGTGCATTGAGCGTGAGAGTGCCAGATTTTGTTTTCACAAAAAAATGCATTCTACACTGTTTAGCCTCCTATGGAGCCCCTAACGGGAAACAAAAAAAAATGTTGCGTTCCCTCGCAAAGTTTTGCATTCCCTCATAAAACTTTGCATTCCCTCGCAAAGTATTGCGTTCCCTTGCAAAATGTTGCATTCCCACGCAAAGATTGCGTTCCCTCGCAATTGTTGCATTCCCTTGCAAAGATTGTGAGATATCGCAATCTTATTTTTTTTTTTTGTAAGGAGAAGCTTTTTTTAAATGCACGATTTTGTACTTCCGGGTCAGCTTGTCTAATGTCAGCTTCACTCTCATGCACGGCTGATTGAGAGACGACACTACTTCGGGGAAGGAGAGAATCACGGGGGAGAATCAAGAACAGATGTAATGTCGTTGTATTTCAAGCTAATTATCAAACTAAAATTCAATGAAAATAGCCAACAGGTGAAAACACGCCATGTTTGTTGTTTTCGATGACCCGGAAGAACACTCTAAATTGTCCCTCGGTGTGAATGTGAGCGCGCATGGTTGTTCGTCTATGTGTGCCTTGCGATTGGATGGCAAACAGTTCAGGGTGTCCCCCGCCTACTGACACATTATAATTCATAACACTGTTATTTTTGGTTTGAGCAAGTCTCAACGTTGAGCTTTTGAGAGAGGGAGAGTGTAAAAGTAAATATTGTAAATGAAAAAGAAGTAAATCATTAACATTTCAGATGATCCCGTAGGCCTTTATTTCAAAATGGCTTGCATGCAAGATAAGATAAGATAAGAAAAGAAAACATTTATTTGTCTCACAATGGAGAAATTCCCAATTTATTCATTCATTCATTCATTCATCTTCCGAACCGCTTGAACCTCACTAGGGTCGCGGGGGGTGCTGGAGCCCATCCCAGCTGTCTTCGGGCAGTAGGCGGGGGACACCCTGAATCGGTTGCCAGCCAATCGCAGGGCACACAGAGACGAACAACCATCCACGTTCACATTCACACCTAGGGACAATCCAGAGTGTCCAATCAGCCTACCATGCATGTTTTTGGAATGTGGGAGGAAACCGGAGTACCCGGAGAAAACCCACGCAGGCCCGGGGAGAACATGCAAACTCCACACAGGGAGGCCGGAGCTGGAATTGAACCCGGTACCACCGCACTGTGAAGCCGACGTGCTAACCACCGGACTACCGGGCCGCCCATTCCCAATTTACAGCAGCAAAATTATGTAGGGATGCAAGTTTCGTGCTGAGTCTGTGAATGATCTGGTGGTTGGTGTTGCAGACTGTTCCCGAGATAAAAAATGTTGGTGAAAGGGTGCCGTTGCAAAATGAGGATCTGGCACCAAAATGAAACTGACTAAGAGGGCATTGGGCAGTCCAGCCAAAACTACCACAGACATTCGCTGTATGTGTTGTCGGCGTGTTCACCATGACCTCTGCCTCATATGCCTCCATGTGTTGCAATCACCAGGTACAAAGACATGATTCTGATGTATGTGTGTGTGTGTGTGTGTGTGTGTGTGTGTGTGTGTGTGTGTGTGTGTGCGTGTGTGAGATCTTCCGCTACTGAAAGAGACGTTTCCCCAAATCCAATTATTATTATTATTTTTTTAATCATCTGATGAATTACTCTATAAATGTATACTATCTAGGAACATTTAAAATATTTGACGTTACACATGCTGCAGTACATAATTTTTTAGGGGCAAACAGTTGAAACAAACAAATGTGATGTGTCCTTTACAGATCCACAGACTAAAACATTTATGACCGCTAGTTTTAGACTTTTTTTTAGCCTTTATTGATGTGAACTATGGGCAGCTGACATGTTCATGTGTTTTAGTTTTGACATATGATGAGCTGAGGCAAATGTGATAAACAATTGGCATTATTTTATCGTGTCCCTTCGATGTCAAGAAGTGTCAACATAAAGGCCTCATAGAAACAAACTTCAAACTCTGTGTCAGGAGCTTTCGTGAGAATTTTGCTGGCTCGTACCTGTTGGTATGGCGTGCAGTACACTTCGGGGCCTGTCAGCCCGCATGTTGATGAGGCATGGAGCTGATCAGCCCGGCCCACAAGAAGGTCGCTGCTGCGTGGGTAACAAGCACCTTGTCTGCAGTCAGTCTGGGCGTGAGATACCGTAGCCACGGCTGGAAGAGGAAATTCTTATGTTACTTCTAAGATCCTGGCTTTGTCAGAGGTAACCCATGGAATTCATCCCCTTTGCATTTTGAAAGTTCCATCAATTTATTGTTTTTCCTTGTCTTTTGTGTGCTTTCACACCAATTCAAAATGAGGCTGTCACTCTATCTATCTATCTATCTATCTATCTATCTATCTATCTATCGGTCTGTTTGTCTGCCTGTCTGTCTACCCATCTATCTGTCTGTCTTTCCATCAATCTCCATCTGTCTGTCTCTCTACCCACCTACCGACCTACCTACTTATCTATCTATCAATCTATCTATCTACTTACCTGTCTGTCTGTCTGTCTGTCTGTCTGTCTGTCTGTCTGTCTGTCTGTCTGTCTGTCTGTCTGCCACCCTGCCTATCTAACTCTCCATCTACCAACCTACCTACCTAACTACCTACATATTTACCTGTCTGTCTGCCTGTATGCATCTACTCAGCTACGTACCTGTCTGTATCTCTGTCTATCTGTCTATCTATCTATCTATCTATCTATCTATCTATCTATCTATCTATCTATCTATCTATCTATCTATCTATCTATCTATCTATCTATTTACCTGTCTGTCTGTCTGTCTGTTTGTCTGTCTGTCTGTCTACCTACCAACAACCTACTGACCTACCTACCTATCTACCTGTCTGTCTGCCTATCTCTCTCTATCCATCTACTTACGTACTTAGATATCTACTACTAATCATAACATAGGGTCAACTAATCCTACTATGTCCATGTTTCTATATGTCCATGTTTCTATCTATCTATCTATCTATCTATCTATCTATCTATCTATCTATCTATCTATCTATCTATCTACCTGTCTGTGTGTCGGTCTGTCTAACCTCTACCTACCGACCGACCGACCGACCTACCTACCTACCTACCTACCTACCTACCTACCTACCTACCTACCTACCTACCTACCTACCTACCTACCTGGCTGCCTATCTATCTCTCTATCCATCTTCTTAGTTACTTACCTGTCTATCTATCTATCTATCTATCTATCTATCTATCTATCTATCTATCTATCTATCTATCTATCTATCTATCTGTCTGTCTGTCTGTCTGTCTGTCTGTCTGTCTGTCTGTCTGTCTGTCTGTCTGTCTGTCTGTCTATCTATTTCTCTTTACAGCAGATCGCATACTTCAAGCGAATCATTTGACAACGTTGGTTGTTATTTAACTTCAGTGTGCTGCTATTTTGAAAACGTCCACACAATCAGTCTTGTAAGAAAGGAAAAGCAGGCCCAAACTAAGTCCCATCTGCGATAATAACTCTTTAAACATGTGCCATCATGACAGAAAGCATGCAGGTTCATTCTTCGTATGCGGTATGTGTGGTATATTAGCTACCACTTGGTTCAACTCCAAGATTCCATTCACTTATGGACAGAAACATCAGATTTTGGGCTGAAACATGGCACCAGAGAAGAGTGAAGGAAAAAATTGAAGGGGGAAAAAAATTCTTACCTGTTAGAAGTAAAAGTAGCATCATTTTAGGGTTTATTCATGTGCAGCTCTGGAAGAGAAAAGGAAGCCAAAATATTAGCTTTCATCGGCAAAGAGAAGCAGACTCCAAAGCATCTCAATGTGGATTTTAACGTGAGGGTCACCTCGTCGTCAATGTCCAAGTCCGGTTACTTGTGTTGCTGCCTTGCTGCCCTTATACAAACTGTAGACTCACCTGGACGATATGATAGAGTGTGTGTCAGAGTCACACCCTTTAGCACCACTCCCATGTCTCCATGAATCACGCACACACACGCACGCACGCACACACGCACGCATGTCACACATTGAGCATATTGTACACACACTTCTTCGAGTACCTCACGAGACCTCAATTGAGACCACCAGAAAATGAGTTTTGCATTTGCTTTTCTGTTCTTACAACACTGGGACTGGTCATAGAAGATGAAAATGAGAAAAAGAAGGATACCAACAATAGCACATGAAGACGACTCACTTATTGTCTGCCTTCGGAATGCGACATTATTTTGAAGCGCCGAGGAATTGAGGCCCATAATGTCCATAGGGGCTCACTTTCAGACATATCAATCCAAATATCACTCATCTAAGACATTCTTACATTTTATATCTCATTAATTATTCTTAATATTATTATTACAAATGTCTGAACTGTTTAGTCTCACCTCATGGAATGCGGCCACGGAGTCTAAATTACTTGTAGCTCCTGAATATTCATTTATGTCAACACAAACAAAGGAATCAGTCAGTAATCTCTGCTGCGTTGTGCTGTAAAACAAATAACAACACATATCAACAGCAGACACTAACCCAGCCGCTGGGGGGCAGTGCCCTCCCCTGGGGGTGCACTGTTCCCCAGTGCCGGTCCCAAGCCCGGAGAAATGGGGAGGGTTGCGTCAGGAATGGCATCCGGCGTAAAACTTTTGCCAAGACGACCATGCGAGTTGGTAGGACGGTTTACAGGGGCGGATGGAAATTACTGACTCGCTGTGGCGACCCCTGAATAGGGACGTGCCGAAAGGAGAAGAAGAAGAAGAAGATCAACAGCAGACACTACAGTTGCCCTGAGGGCTTTAGGTTTACTCACTTGTGTGCAAAGGTAGCCTCAGGGCCATTTGAACACCCGCGCATAATATTTTTGTACTCTCATGACAGACATGCTTACCAATACCAAGCACAGGGAGTGTCTTGTGATTCAACGCGTGCGCACTCACACACACACAGACGACACATCTCAGACAAGTACCGTCATGCCTTCTGCAGTTCTGTGGAGGTGTTCTTCATTTCTTAAGTAGCAACTTGGTATCTTCTTTCTTTGAACACCAGCCCAAGGTAATGGAATGGTAGAAAGAGATTTTAATGCTCATTGGCTATTTGAACAAATGTATAAAACCGTGAAAACACACTCCTCAGGTTATTAACTATTTACTGTACATCAAATGCCGCCCCTCCCCACCCGCCCAGATCCTGAGTTTGTACGATTCACTATGTCAGCATAACCTGTCCAAAAGTTTAAAATTCAAAATTCCATCATGTATGACATCAGGTGAGATGTTGGCGTATCGTACATGACCTTTCGTAAACTTCACTCAACCTCTGTTTAGCACGCACGTTTTTTTTTTTTTTTGTGGCCTTTTTGCAGCATGTATTTGTCAGGAATGACCAGCCTTAAAAAAGACTGTTATGAAAAGATGGACTCGCATTAAAAGTGCTAAGATTCCAGTATCACTATTGGGTGATCAATTCTAATTAAGTGGTTTTTTTTTCGCTTTATAGTGGTTGACTTCTTTCTGTACTCATAAGAATGGTAAGCATATTTTAAGACAGGTTCTGCTGTATCACATTATGTCATTTTTGGTCTTCGTGTCTTTTAATCACAGTGCTTGGAAAGGAAATGGTTTTTTTTGTGTGTTTTTTTTCGCCATCAATCAAGAATACAATCGTCCTAGACACAGTCACAACCTCCAGGTCCCAAGAAAAGTCCTTCGACAAAGCTAGTTCCACTTTGTGTGTGATATTTTACTTTGTATTATCTCCACAACAAACACAAATAAGAGAGAGTAATCATTCAAATTATCTTAACCCTTTCAGGGACAGCGGTTACTAAAGTGGACAGCTTATCATGTTATCAGGTTATAGGGCGCATGAAAGGGTGAAAATGTGTGGATTTTTGGATGACATCCTGCTACATTAGTGTGAGGATAAGCTCTCATATTATCATCAAGTCTTGGATTCAGCTACTGCGTTTCCACATTTCCTGTACAACCCATTCTTAGTCATCATCTGACACATGCATTTCTGTGTCTGTGGGACTGAGGGCTGTACAATTCCACTCAGACCAAAGGTGGCAGCAGCAGTCTCAGGGTCAGAGGAGGTGACATTTACACAACCTTTCCTCTAATTCTGAATCTGTGGATGTGGATGTTTTTGATATAAAGTCTGCAAACATGTAGGCAAAGCACCATCACGTGCATGACAGCGCGTTTTGACCTCGGGTACTCCAACCCCTTCAGATTGTTACCTCATTCGCCTACTGATGACACATCAGGAGCAATTGGGGGGGGTTCAGTATCTTGCTCAAGGACACTTCGACATGGTCGTTATGGCCGGGGATCAAACCACTAACCTCTGGGTTGAGACATAACCACTGTACGACTGAGCCATCATAAAAACAAAATGAAAAAACGGAGGTGAAGTATGTGAAATATTTCAAACTCTTTATCCATTCAAAATAAAAATGATGGAACTTTAAAAAATAATACACTGATAAAAAAGATCCTTTGGCTTTACTTAAGTCGAACCTGTACCAGTACATCGGTTGCAAATGTGGCAAAACAATGAAATTTTCTTGTGTTTTTCTCAAACATAAACACATAATAAGTACTAATATGTTTTCATCATGTGCAACCAAAAATCAAGTACCTGTACTTTTTATTTCAGTGTCGTGAATTGTTTTACTTCACAATACTGGAATTTAAGCCGAATAAGACATATAAGATCCCATTCTTCTATGTCTTATTCGAAAACAGAAGATAGGTGATAATGATTTGACAGAAATGGGGAATCAACACTCATGCGGCTATGTCCACGCTGCCTACCATTTACCAAATGGGAAGTGGTTGAGCAAAAGATCCACGAAATGTTGGCAGCCTAAGTCATCGAGCTGCCAAAAAGCCCATGGCCAGTAGCCGTGGTTCTAGTTCAGAAGAAAAATGGGACATGGTGGGTTTGTGTGGATAACCGTTGCCTCAATGAGGTCACCTGAAAAGACTTAAACAACTGTCTTGAATCGATGATGCCCTCGATTCCTTCACCAGGTCCAGGTAGTTCTGTTTATTTCATTTGCTGAACAGCTATTGGAAGGTAGAGTTGGCACCAGAGGCATGTCCTCAGATTGCATTCTACATAGGCCAAAACTATGGCAGTTCCAATTGATGCCATTTGGACTTTGCAATGCCCCAGCCATCTCAGAACGGCTAATGGAGAGGGTCCTGGCTGACATTCCACAAGCAAGTTGCGTCTACCTGGATGACTCTTGGTCCATACTGCCAGCTTCCAGAACACCTTGGACCATTTGAAGGAAGTCTTCACTGCAATCGGGAAGGGTGGACTTTGCCTGCATCCGAAAAAGTGCTGCCTGTTTAGACGAGAGACATTTTTCCTAGGACGCATCGTTAATGTAACTGTGGTAACCACAGACCTGAAGAAGTCTGAGGCTTTGAAGAACTCGGCCGTGCCAAAAGACTTGGGTGAGCAGCGCAGTTTTCTCAGCCTGGCATTATACTACTGCCGCTTTGTGAAGGACTTTGTCTCCATCACCAGCCCACTGCATCAACCGACTCAAAAAGGCCGGCTGTTCGAATGGACAGAGGAATGTGAACATGGTTTTCTCCCTGCTCCAGTCGGCACTGGTGGAGGCACCTGTACTTGCCTACCTCAACATCCAGCAGCCTTTCATCATGGATAAGTATTCGATATAACAAACCATCCATGCATCCATTCTCTACTGCTTATCCGAGGTCTGTCTCATGGGCAGCAGATTTAGCGGGGAAGCCCAGACTTCCCTCTCCCTAGCCATCGGAGCCAACTCGCCACCAGGAGGTGTTCAGTTGACAGCTGTCCCACTCTTTTCACCAGTGTCCAAAACATGGAGCAGAAAATGCAATGACAGGGCCACAAAGTAAATCATCAAACTGTGACGAAGGCTGTCCTTGTTCCAAGTGCAGAACGAGGGAGTCCCCAAAGCGTGCACATTCAGCACACCCACCAAGGAGCTGCTGTTTCATGTATAGGCCATCCCGCCCACCCGATGGCGGAGACTGGCTACCCTCTCACCCATTGGGGTGAACTCCAATGTACAGGCCATGAGCCGGAGGGCAATAAATATGCCCACACCTGCTTTGCTCCTGTCACTGGGGGCAGCTCCAGAGTGGAAGGGAGTCCAAACTCTCTCGAGAGAACTGGTACCAGAGCCCTGACTGTATACGGAGGAAAGTCCAATTATGTCAAGTCGGAACTTCTCTGCTTCGCACACCAGCTCGGGTGCCTTCCTTGACAGAAAGGTGACATTCCATGTCGCTAGAGCTAGCTTACGTAGCCAGGGAACGGACTGCCATGGTCCCCTCCTTTGACTGCTGCCCAGTTCTCAAAGCACCCAACCCTTTTGGCCTTTTCCACAGGTGGTGAGCTCATGGGAAGGAGGACCCCTATTGCCTCATCGGGCTGACCCAGCTCTTTACCGAGCCTTTGATTTCACTTTAAAGTTTAATTGGACCAAAGTTCACAGTACTGTACATCCTGACTTCATTTTTTATTGGTAAAACAGAATACTCATCATGAATAGGAAAAGGCCTACATTTTGGTCGAGTCCAGACACTACAGCTCGAATGTTTTACAGAAACTGAAACGACTAGAATTCTTCAGAAATAAGGTAGTACAGTATCATTAGAAAGCTGACAAATTAAAAAATCTTGGCCTGCAAGAGATATTGCTTGAATAGCACTTTTTTTTTTTTTTAACATGGCAGGTAGGGAGTTGAGCACACACAATGAATAGATATGAAGAGGCCGAGTCACCCGCTAAATCCCACGATTTAGGCTAAATCTCGAGAAGGAGCCATGTTTGTGATTCAATGGAACTATTACCATTGGTGTTAACAGTTTTACAGAAAAAAAAAATCACAGGAATCATGTATTTTTAGCGTGTGTATAAGCCTGTTTGAGTGGGTGATGTCACAAGATTGATTCTTGCATTTAGGTACACCATGAAAAATCGTCAACTCTTCCACTCCCGCACAAACACAACTTAGAAAGAGGCGCTTTGGAACTAAAACATGGTACCGTTTGATTTCATATGAATCAGTGCTCAGCAGTACCGACCCAAATCGGATTTTTAAAAAAAAGCACCGACTTCAGGACCCATCCTTTTTACTGAGTCCACACATCACACATATTTGTCTGGTGTCCAGGGTTGCTAAGTTGGTGCAGTCACAAGCACCACCCGCCACTCCACACTCCCACCACAAAACACACACTCAATCCCACCAGGAGAGCACGAGACCCCCAGCCAAGGCAGGGTCTAGACAGGCATGTCGGGGCAGTAACAAATCTCAGCACCTTTGGCCATGTCTAACTGAGAAATTTACTCACTTGGATGCGGGTACACTAAACAAGTGTCTTGTAAAGCAGTGTGGTCTGAAATGCTTGGCACACTTATTTTATTGTGGTTATTGTTGTGAGACTAATCTGACATGAACTTGGGTTAGGGTTCGTTGTATGTGCTACCCTCAATTTAACTGATTGCACATTGTCTGGCCTCTAACCTAAAGACCTTTCCAACTTGGTCATTGAAGGCACTCAAACCTCCTGGCCACGATAAAGTGGTAATCTCTCAAATGGATGTTTTTGTATTTAAAAAAATATATATATATTATCTGTAATTTTTAGGAGGATGCTTTTGTTTATTTATTGATTTTTAAAAATACAATTCAAGAAATAAAACAAAAGTTATTAGCCTAGAAAAACAAACAATTTAACAGTTTGGTCTGCTGGATGAGACCATTACGTATGTCAAAAACAAAGAAAGGTCCAGGCATCTTGGTATCCTGAAATCAACTGAAAAAAATAGCAATGAGCAAGACATTAAAACAGTAAGAAGTGGAGCAGAGGAGAGAGGCATGAGATAATAAAAATATGTGAAATATAATATATTTTGGGGAATTAAATTTTTTTTCTGGGGAGGGGCATTTATTTGAGGGGGGCCAGTCTCACTTTTGCCCCTGCCTCGACCCGCTCTGTCCCCAATCTGTCAAAATGAGCCTGGTGCCCCACAGCAGTTTATTTTCTTCCTTTTCTTTTTATTTTCGGTGGTGAGGTAAGCACGGTTAAGCTGGTTTGCCCACCCAGTACCCACTACTCAGGATAATATTTGGAGTCATCCAACAACTGGATCTTTGCAAACTTTAAGTTTTGGACAGAGGGGGAATGCTCGAATTCGACCTGATTGTCGGTATGTTTGTTTATTTTGTGCTCAATAATAGCAATAAAACCAGGCTCAAAAAATAAGCCGTATTTTTGTGAATTCGTCACTTGCAATTACTACATGACATAGGTGCGCACAGTTACTTGGATCCACGTTAAAATAAAGAGCAGATTTGAACACATAATTGCTGACAACCAGTAGGAAACTTCAGAAAGTACTCTCTGGCTTTGAGCGATATAACTTGTGTTGTGCTTGGTCAACAGTAGACGTGACATTTATTGGGCAAGGACGTTTTGTCACAGAAGCTCTGGGCAGCAGCCCAAGAGCTGCACAACGGCACGGCTGCCCTGGTTTCCTCATGAATATTGGGCAAGTGACACATTATGGGTGGGGACAATTTGGATATAAGTGATCACAGCATCGAGTCAAAGTAAGTTGCTCAAACAGACGACAAGTCATTATTAAGATTAGCCTCTCGTTGACAATGGCAACGGTAAGTTTTTCTGACTTTAATATGAATGGGTAAAAACTTTTGCTTGATGTTCACAATTTTTGCTCATGGAAACATCCACAATTAGTGTCATTCTGTATTTCATTGTGTTTTATTTCAAGCAACTAGAAATATATCATTATAACTTTGCATGCATTTTAACTGTAAAATCCATGATTCATCTTCAGTCCCGGATGGGAACTAATATCGCCTTCAGTTACTTTTACTATGGAGTAGATATTTAACTGCCATGCAAAACAATCAAGCTTATCACAGTGGTCATTCCAAATCACTCGCAACAGTAAAAGTGCAAGCACAATTAATCATTAATAAATGAGTAATGGCTGAATGGGCACCGCTATTTTGACCAGTTTGAACTAATAGTTCATTATTCTAATGAAATGAGAGCTGTGAGACAGTGACTGCAGTTTGATGCAAAATTAAACATTGTGAGGTTGTTGACACGCACGTCAAAGAAAGACAAATCTTTGGTCAGGACCTTTCATTTGGATAAGCTGTTACAACACAGTCATCAGTCTATATTTCCGAAGCAGGGTAATATGCTAAGCAATGATTTGCTTTTTTAATAACCAAAATATTGCCCATAATATTTGATTGCCAGTGTAATAATTCATAAGTCTCAGATTCCCCCCCACCTCATTACAAAAAAATTATGTATTTATTCATTTATGTATTGATTACAGGCTCCACCCAACTCTTACAAATCAGCTGAAGAGCCACTGGAGACGAAAAGCATGCAAGAGTTTATACTCTTCGCCAAAGACATGCTCAGTCAGAAACCCAGTCGACAACTGATCAAGGTTTACCTCATGGGCTCTGCTTTTGCAGTACTGGGGACTGTCATCGGACTGATTGAGATGGTGTCTCACCCATTCTCTTCAGGAGAGCCAATGGACGCTGAGATGCTTCTCGTGATGGCTAAGGAGCAAAAGACTGTTGCCTCCGCGACACAATGCAAAGACAAGGTGCCGTCAAAGTGGGAAGAGCAAGAGCAGGACATGATCCAGGGCATGACTTTCACCAAGGTCTGCAGTCAAAGAAGTTTGTCCAAACGTCGACATGCTTCAAGAAGCTAACTTCTTCATCAAAGACTGCTGTTGAGAAAATATTGGTGTGCAACACCTACTTTGTACAACGTCTGCTTGAACACGTCAATGAAAACGAGCTCCAAGTGCTCTTTTTACACTTGAATCATGGCTCATTGAACTCTAACTGTCAATTTATGCACTCGTACATTATAAACTACATGTTTTTAACCCTTGCACAAACACTTTTCATGTTAAGTAAAGACTGTGTTGGTTATTATGGACACACTGTGAAAGGATTATTTTTTTTATACCGCATGTGAAAGGTTGTCCTTGTCAGCGCTGAGCGATGGCGCCCCCTGGTGGGATAATTAAAACGGCTGTTGACTTAACGTCCCACTTGACAAACCTTGAAATACATGCGATGTTTTTGTTCATCAATAAAGTACATTTTATATTTTAAAGTCTAATGCATAGAGTTCATCCATTCATTATCTATACTGTTGATGACCCTGGAGTGGCCACCAGTCAATCGCAGGGCAAATAACTTAAACCATTCACACTTATGGACAATTTAGAGTGCTCAATTGGTCTAATATGCATATTTTGGGAATTTGGGAGGAAGCACGGTCGCTGATGGTCTAGTGCAGGGGTCACCAACCTTTTGAGAGTGAGAGCTACTTCATGTGTCCTGATTGTGTGAAGGGCGACCAAATTGATACAAGTCTGAAATAAAATGTGTACAAATTACATTTAATAAGATGAGAATGTGTTATTTTTAATACTTAATGATTTAAATTTTCAGGCTCTGATCATCTTAAAGATGTCTCACAATACAGCCCGTGTTTGCATTTTTAAATCATAATTACTACGAGCAAATCACAATCCAAGCACTGGCGGGCTATTGATGTGGTCGTCACGGGCTACCTGGTGCCCGCGGGCACCACGTTGGTGACCCCTGGTCTAGTGGTACATTCGCCGTATTTGCATGCGGGCAGCGTGGGATCGGCTCCCGCTCAGTGACGGTGTAGATGTGGGTGTGAATGGTTGGTTGTTTCTGTATGTCTCCTGCGACTGAGTGGCGACCAGTTCAGGGTTGTAGTCTGCCTTCCGCCCAAAGTCAGCTGGGATAGGCTCCAGCAACCCTGTTCAGGATAAGCGGTGTTGAAAATGGATGGATGGATGGATGGATGGATGGATGGACGGATGGACGGATGGATGGACGGACGGATGGATGGATGGATGGATGGATGGATGGATGGACGGATGGACGGATGGATGGACGGACGGATGGATGGATGGATGGATGGATGGATGGATGGATGGATGGATGGATGGATGGATGGATGGATGGAGGAAGCACGGGGGAGAACATGCAAAGTCCTTGAGCAAGTCCCAAGCTAAGGTTTGGGCACTGAACCTCAGAACCATTAGGTGAATGTGCTTACCGCCAGTCCTGCCCTGGAGATTTTATATGGCATTTATATTGGACTAAATATACTGCATTTATATTGTCACGTCAGTGGACTGACTTGTGGAACCTATTTGTTCAAGCCCCCCAGTGTTTTAATGGCTGACCTCATGTTTTAAAGAGTCAAGGTTAGTGGGCGGCACAGCAAGCTCCCACGTGGATATCAACGCATGGTGAGTGGAGATAGTCTGCAGACAACAGAATGAGCCTGCACATGAACAAACATAATGCAAAATCAATCTAAGTCTGAGTCAACATGATAAACACTTGGTGCCAAAAATAGTTTCAGTAACTGTCTGTGTGAGGTATGACACCGATAAGACTTCTGAGGAATCTTATCTGTGCTAACAATTGATCTAAAGTGACGTGGCAATAATTTGTGTGTGTGTGTGTGTGTGTGTGTGTGTGTGTGCATGTGCGCGTGTGTGTGTGTGTGTGTGTGTGTGTGTGTGTGTGTGTGTGTGCGTGCGTGTGTGTGTGTGTGTGCGCGTGTGTGCGCAGGCGCGT